ATTTTTTTTTATTTTTATTTTTTTTTTTTTTTTTTTTTTTTTTTTTTTTAATATTTATATATATATAACTAAAAATAAACACCCCCCCCCCCCCCCCCCCCCCCCTTTTTATCCATGTAGATTATGCTAACCTTGATTATCTAGGCCGTCGCTGTCCGCAAGCACCTTGACCGTAACCGCAAGGACAAGGACTCCAAGTTCCGCCTGATTTTGATCGAGTCCCGCATCCACCGTCTGTCTCGTTACTACAAGACCGTCGGTGTCCTGCCCCCCACCTGGCGCTACGAGAGCGCCACTGCCTCCACCCTTGTCGCATAAGCGCATTTTGGGAGGATGAGTGGTTGACGGAGGAAACCCATCGGATCGTCGTGATAGTCATATCTGGAGGGTCTATCTTCTGCTAGGTACAACAAAAAAGATTACGATTATTTGATACCCTGTTCATGAATGCTCTAGACTCCTTTGATAATTGTAGGTTCGGCTAGTAGGTTAGATCTAGGTAATTTTGTTGCATAAGTGATCACTCGTCCGCCAACACAAGGTAGTTCAGTATAACATACTAGTATCTACTATTTGACCCATGTGGTTATACACATTGTATGACTCTAAGTAGACACATATCCAAGTGTATATATAGGTGTTCTCACAACTCACACTCAGCAGCTCTAACCTCCCTCGCTACAGCATTGCAAAGCTCAACTTTAACACCAGCTCCTAACAAGATATGGATCCAAAGGCGCTGAGTATCACTCAGCCGATCATTCTCCGACTTAACCTCAGCGAACATCACCGTCCTCGTCTCATGATTCCAGAGGAACAAGTCCGGGATTCCCCCACCGCGCTGCTGGTACTCCTGCGCCATAACCTTGCAGATAGTAGCAAGTGCCTCTCCCCGGAAACATTGCACGATCTCAACTAAGTCATCTAGATCAAAAGACCAGTCAAGCCCAACAGCGCAGGGCTGCGCCTCCGCCTCACGAGCATAGACCTCACGGACGATCCGCTCCGCATCCCCATTCGTGATCTCGACAAGTCGGTGATTGATCTCCGATGCACGAGACGGGTAGAAGACATCAGTGTGGAGATCGAGCGGACACGTCTGGAACGCAGTTTGGAAAACATTGGGCACGTATGTAAACAGGATATCGTAAAAGAGATAGCCGAACTGTGATCAAGATCAGATTAAAAGCTCAATCTTCCGGATATTCCAGACTCACCAGCGTTCGCACAATCCCCCCTTCGGAGTGATACCCCTTCCATCCATGATCGCGGTACCAACTCAGACACATATTCTCCACCCTGCACTCGCCGCCCTCCCTCTCATCAATCCAAACAGTTGCTTTCCCCTTTCGCGGAGCATCACCCGTATCAATACGGATACCCTCAATCGTGCGCTCAGCCGGCTTGCCTAGCATGACATGTCCGAAATCATGCTGCTCGCGCTTTACCACCCGTAGCGCCTTTTCCAGCTTCGTGATCCGCTTCTGTAGGTCGTAATGAAATATCAGATGGCACAGCGGGTCTTCTAGTCCGGCCTCGCACGTCCGCAGCGCAAGTCTCTTCCAATGCTTGCGCTGGAGTTCTTCGCTGCGCCCATCTGCAGGCGCAAGCGCCCACATGTAGTGTTCTTCCAGCAGTGCCTTGCGCTGGTACCAAGCGCCGCGCCGCGCCGCGTGGAAGAGACGTTGGGCGAGAAGTTCCTCTAGCAACTCGTGCTCGCGTCTATGCTCCTTGAACCGCCCGAGCGCGTGGAGACTCTTGTGGATGATTCTTGTGAGCACCCATGCTGGCGAGAACCGGCGTAGATAAGCGCCCTCGCCGCTTTCGTACATGTTGTCTTCTTTCTTTTGTTCTTGCTCGACGAGCTCTTTCCATCGGGGATAGGACTGGTAAGCAAGGTCGATGATTTGTTGGAGTGAGGCGGTCGTGACTGGGCCGTTGAATTCGAGGATGTTGTCGATGGCGAATTGGGTTTGTATCGCTGATTCGAATTCCAATAGCGTTTCTCTGGACGAGAAGATGGAGTTTGAGCGGCAGACAATATATTCGGGGAAATTTCTTTTGCTCATTTTGGCTAGGATAATTGTTGTGAGGGACTTTTCGGTCCATTCGGTGGAACGATAGAATACTAGGTGCACTCGCTCGAAGAGAGTGCGAGGCACTGGCGAGATCCTGATACATCCACCCGTGTAGTCCAATATCTTTTGGGTGAAATGGCTGTTTCTGTTATTTGCGTCTTGAAGTCCTTTTTGCGTCTGGCTCGTTTCGCAGAGAGCCGCCAGCAGCTCTTTCTTGCTCTTGCCCTGAACCTTGGCCTCCTTTGCAAAGGCCTTGAGTTCTTGCAGCAATAGAAGTGATGAAGCCTCTTCCAGCGTTGTGATCGCTTCTATGCCTTCTGCAAATCTGAACGTATCTCCGAGTTCTGAACCAGGCAGGCTGCGATCCCGCTGTAGGTCCTCAGCAACAGGGAGCAAGTCCGAGATATCGGAGCAGTAGTTCAACCGGTTGATACGGTGCCATGCAGACGTCTTGCGGAGGAACAGTCGAACATACCTAGTAAAGCATTAATCCCAACTATAGGTTATCACATTCTACAGGAAAACATACAGATACTGGGATTCGTAGGACAGCCCCCGCCACTGCGCAAAGATTTCCATTTCGGCCTCGTCAAAAAGATGCGATTCCTCATCCAGCACAGTTTCCAGTGCAAGGTTGAAGGCATCCACATAGATGGAGCTTTTGCCCTTCTGCCAGACGCCATCTCGTAGCCTCACATGTAATCCCGTCTTGGTGTCGTTCTGTAGGGCCTCGTACTCCTCGATTGCGTCCTTGTCGGTCTTGATCGCAGGAAGGGAAGTTTCGAGTTCTGTTTGGCTGCTAGGAACAATCCCTAAATCGTCCGCTGCGGGGGTCTCCCCCGCCGTGGCCGAAGGACTCGGACTCGGTGGTTTAATATCTGCGTCTGTACTAGAATACTCCGTTTCAACAGTTCGCCGACGTTTCGCGGGACGCTGCGTCTCCCAGAAGTTCAGCAAGGACATAATATCTCGTTTCCATGGATGCAATCAGTCCCAATGACTCGAGTCTCCAAGTATAAGCAGACACGAACGACGTGTCTCGCGAGCAGGTTTCGAACACGTGATCACGTGATCCACATAGCTCCATCAGATTGTTTGTCCTGTTTGCGTATGACATAGACACAAGAGGCACAGCCAAAAGCATAAGAAAGGTAACCAAACAAAGACGATCTGAAACGAGAGAAGAAAAAATGCCCTCTGAAATCATTCGAAAAGTCCCCAAGTGCAACCTCTAGATATAAAAATGGCCTTACCAGTAAGCAGCTCTCCCTCCTACAACGGATCGATACCTCCGAGCTCCACAGCTTCCGCTCCGCGAACACTCGCATTCCACTTCTTCCCAAAATATACACCTCCCAGGTACTCAATTAACCTGTGCAGCCTCCCACCCTCGCGATCTCAGATCCACCGGCTTCCTCGGCTCCTACAGTCACCACAGCTCAACCCCCATCCACAATGGGCGAAACAAACGGCACTGGCTCCAACACGCCGCTTGGCGATTTGGGCTATGTCTCTGCGGGTCAGATTCGCCCCGGTGGCGCGCCTGCTCGCGTCTATCTCAATGAGAAGGTCGTGCCGTATCTGCTTGATGGGATGAAGTCTGTTGCACGCGAACAGTGAGTGGAGTATTGTGCCTGGCTAGCTTTTTTATACTTGTCTACTAGATGGATTTACTGATCTCCTTATCTTTCGCTTTTCTGCACTAGGCCTGCCAATCCTCTCCGTGTGCTCGGCGAGTTCTTGCTTCAGAAGAGCAATGAGGTGGAGGGGGAGACTAAGAAGGAGTCGGAGTAGAGGGGAGAGGGGTTGGGATTTCTTTGGGCGTTTCATGGTGCTTGATCAGCTATTCTGATATTTTTTTTATTTGGTTTTGAAAGCTTGTGAGTGGACTTTAATGTACACTACGATGTTCACCACTTGATACCCCGGTCGATGTCTATATCTGTCCTGTTAGTAGGAAGGATCAATAGCAGAAAACAAGATAGAGAGGATGATATCTCGAAAAGCGAGGTGGTGATTATCTGGTATAATAGATTGAGGATCTACGTACCTATGAAAGTACGGGGTAGAGTATTATCAAATAGGCATTTTGCAAAAATAGAGCGTTTTGGCGCATGAATTCTACATCTTGCAGTCCTTTGATCTAACGCTAAGGAGGGCGAAGAACATCTAAAAACATATCTAGAAGGTATTATAATGTGATACCATCCCAAGTAGGTCAGACTACTGACTACTCAACTTCTGCGTCGTCGAAGACACAGACCACATGATTGTACTTCTAAAGGGATATATAGACACCGGGGTACAGCTTATGGGACCATCGAATCATGAGAGCCAAAATATGTATTCAAGTTTGGAAGCTTCATAGAGATTCCTAAATGGAGTAAGTACAAGGTTGTTCTATATCCCGACCAAATATTCGGGGAAGAACAAAATATTCGAAAATGAAAGCTTCGAATAAAGCCTAGATAGGTCAGCTTGCAAAACACATCTCACCTTTAATGGCATTCCAAATCGATTAATGCCTGGAGTTTAAAGGTTGAGACTACAAGCGCAAAGTCGACGGCTTTGAATTGGGCGAATGGTTGATCATTCAGTTGTTTAGAGAAGTCGAATACAATCGGGCCGTTACTGGAGATGGTGTATAGGTGAAGTTGTAGCTGTAGCTGTGTGACGAATTTGCTGACCCTGAGATAACCGAATTACAGCGATAATTTTCTGTCCCTTTGCCGCTAGAAGTTTTTTTCCCCGAAGTTGCGTCGCAAACAGACATGAAAGAGATACCTCATCAAGCGACCGAAGTGTGCATCGATGAAGTTGCCGAGTCGTGGCGCTCCGTGGTTTTTTCTTTTTTAAATCGTCGAGCCGAGAATTGACAAACAAAGACAGCGACGCCCCGTGGCCCGTCGCCCAAATCCAGCATTAAAACAATCCCATAAACAAAGAAAAGGGCGGAGGAAGTGGGCAAGTTGGTGAAACATGGGAACCAGGAACCAGGAGACATCAAAGGCCAGTCTCTGTTCTGGTTAGAAAATAAGGGGAGGCACTTTACCTGCCAGCGTACCGGTCCTCGCCGGCACCGCCGCCGCTGCCACCGCCACCGCCAGGAGCACCACCAGTGCTGCTGCGTGCCTGACCTTCGTAGGAACGTCCACCACCACCAGCGTAGGGGTCGCGAGCCTCACGGGGAGGGGCAGCAGCATCGAAGCTAGGAGGGTTGGCGTCACGATCGTAGTAGCCAGCGCCGCCGCCACCGCTGCCGCGAGATGCCTCAGCACCTCCGCGACGTTCATCGCGGCTGTAACGGTCATCACGGCCACCGCCGTAGCGGTCACCGCCACCACGGTATGCGTAGTCGTCGCGTGATTCACGGCGACCACCATACTCACGGCCACCACCACCGCCACCACCAGCGTAGTCACGGCGGCCATAGTCACGTCCGTAGTCACGGCCATAGTCACGGCGATCATTGTAAGAGTCGTAGCGACCGTAGCGGGAGTAGTCATCATCGCGACGACGCCAGCCGCCACCGGAGGGTCCACGGCGATCATCGTAGCGGTCACGGCGAGGACCACCTCCACGGCTACCACCACCAGGACCACCTGGGGGACCACCTGGGCCATCTAAAGAGGAAAAATGTAAGTCGACGTAAGGCGCAAGGGGACAGGACGATGTGACTTACCACGTTTGGGAGGACCAAAGTACTTTCCAGGGGTAGGGGTACGAGGGCGTGCACGTCGAGCCTTCTCGATGCTCAGGGTACGACCTTCAATAACTTCGCCCTGGAGACCCTCCTTGGCGGCATCAGCCTGCTCGGCGGTGACCATGTTCACGAAACCGAATCCACGCGACTCCTTGGTGTGGGGATCAAGCATGATAGAACAGTTATCGACATCACCGTACTTCTCAAACAGACGCGAAATATCAGACTCGGTCAGACGCGGGTGAATACCAGTAACAAAGAGGTTAGAGCCAGAGTTGATGGCACCTTCATCGTCTTCCTCGACAGGTTTGCGGGCCAGAGGAGCTCTGGGGTTTATTAGCTTCTAATTGATATACCGGACTAGACAAATACATACCTGTCATCAGAACGGCCATTGGGGGAGCGGCTGCGAGCACGGTCGCGGTCGGCTCGAGGCTCATCGCGAGGAGAGGCGCTGCGCTCGCGATCATATCGGGGCTCGTCTATTGAAAAAGGGTAAATATTTTCAAGCGCATGGAAACAATTCTAAAAGACATACCCGCGTAGCGGCTGGAATCGTTGTCGTAGTCCGCCATGATGAAAGGACTGAAGGTGTAGGTTGAAAGAAGGAAGGAAAAGAAGTTGGAAAGCTGATAAGAGCGGACGCTAAGCACCGGAAACTACACACCCGAGGAATCAGGCAGCGGTGCAAACTTGCGTGGATTTCAAGTGAATTGGATGAATTGGAGGGAATTGGGAGAATAAAACTAGAGGTTTCTTTTTCCTTTTCAAAATACGAGTTTATGCAGGGGGTTATCTTGACTATGACAAACAGCTATTATGCCAAGACCGAACAAATCGCCATATTAAAGCTTGATAGTACATACTCATACAACTAAGACTAACTCCTGAGATTCGACGCTAAAATCAAATTCGTGAACCCTATACCCATCATGTCCAGAAGTTAATCATCGTGAGCCTCGCAAACGTAGAGTCCGACGGGTATTTTGTTGTGAAGCAGCCGGGGTACTGGGGGTCTGGCCCTTCAGGTCTCCATCATCAACCAAGTCCTTCAACCCTTCGAGTTCATCTTCATCCAATTCACTGAGTTCTTCACTCATTCCACGCATGACATCCCGTCCAGTCCACCGTTCCTCGTGAACAGTCGTACCGACAGGGTCAAAGGGTTGCATGTACCATTGAATGCCACCCAAAGCCAAAGGGAGCTGCTGGTCTTGCTCGGTCAAAACAGGCGTTGGATGTCGACAGTAGGCGTTGACACTCTTTATGGGGTCTTCAGCAGGAGGTAGCTCTTCTGCCCCAGATGCTTCAGGGTGTTGTTCACCTGCAGTAGGCTGGGCTTCTGATGGAGCCTCGGTCGTAGGAAGCGTTTCCTCAACTCCTTCCATAGCATCAGGGTGACCAGACAGCTCAGTATCACCTTCCGGCTCAACAGAATCACCACTGCGTGACATCACACTGTGGTCAAGAATCATATCCAGCTCCTTCAATTCCTTCTCGAACGGTTTGCGGTTGAGTTCGCTCTCTTTCCTGATCGCATCCTCCAGGGAAGGCTGGATGACTTTGATTATCCGCTTTGCCAATTTCCTCTTCTCGCGTTGCTCCAGGCTGAGCTCCGGGGCGCGACCACTGATCTGCGCTTGGAGTTCCGCGGTATCGCCAGCGGGCTCCACGCCGATTTCTGAGGTGAATAGACTGGCCAAGTCAGAAGAGAAGGCAGCGACGGACGGATAGAATCGTTCGTTGAGCCTTTGTCGGATTGACATCAACCCTGGTGCAAACACACCCTTTCCATCGAGCCTAGAATGAAGTCAGTATGAGCGTTGACAAACTAGGACGAGTATATCTCACAGTTGAGCTTTCTCCAATATTGGCCACAGCAATGGGAATGTAGGGAAGTAGACAAGATCGACGATGTTACGAAGCATCTCTGCATCCTTCAACTTCTCCCTCTCCCGTTTCTTCACTTCGTCGCATAGCATTCTCAATCGATCAAGATCCTTGTAAAGTCGCTCACCAAACTCAATGCGACGCTCTAGACGTCTGTGTCCGGGTACACCCATTGCTACATAGTCTCTTCGTGTCATTTCCATAGATGAGAAGGTCTCCAGCTGCAACTGGAGTCGCTTGAGCAATGCTGCTCCACGCCTCGCCTCTCGTTTCAATGTCCAATACTTGGATGCATCTTCAGCATATTGCTTCCTTTGGCGGACTGTAAATCGCCCGAGAGAAGCAATCACTGAGTTTAACACAACCTGGGGGATAACTGGCGCACCGGAAGGCAGCTTCCAGATTGTTCTGGGAACACGTTTCCGTTTATTTCCACCGACTGTTAACGTAAGGCGAGGAGTGAGGGTGCGATCTTCTTCTGCTCCATCATTGGGGTGCGCAGGGCCCATCGAGAGAGCTGCAGCTTGGCTGTCTCCCCAGCGTCTACCTTGCATAGTATTGCGATAGTATTCGATAGCATCGGCAGTTGCAGCATCAGTACCATGCTCCAATCGCCAGTCAGAAGGAACGTGCTTGTCGCAGAAAGCCTTGAGAAGGTGCGAGTCCATAAGACCATGGCCAATCTTCATCTTTAGATAAAGTTGAGCTCTGCGTGCACATGAGACATGGAAAGCAACAAAGCAGTTTTTGTTGCTGCACTGAATGGATGCACCCATCCGCTGTTTGCAGATGTAGCAATTCAACTTCCAGCGGCTGCGTGGAACCTTTTCGACATCGGTCACCGGCTCCATAAGAGATGGATTACCAATAGAAACTTCAGGAATCCAGAAAGAGCAGAGTAAATGAGCCCATTTAGAGGAGGTTGTTTGTTTGAATGCGCCCTCAGTGTTTGGGCAGAAGATACAATTGGTGGATCCTCTTCCCAGCAACTGGCACTTGCGGCAGAGCCACTGACCTTCTGGAATGAAAGGAACACCATAACACTCTTGATGCACTGCAAGGTCGCAGCCATCGCAGAAAACAATTGCATTCGAGTTTTCACAATCGCCATCATCACAGATAGCACACTTGCTGTCTTGTTCTTCGCCCGGTCCCGCTGTTTCGCCATTGACTGCAGCTGCCGAGCTAGAGCGAAGACGTCCGGTCTGCGGGGGTTTGGGATTCGGCTTGGGGATGCGCTTCTCAAGGGCATGCCATTCCCTCTCAATTTTGGTCATGGTAATCTCAAACACAGCGGGCTTGATGGGCTCGAGCTGATCTTCACGGCGCTTGGCATTGTATTCCTCCAACCATTTTTCATCCTGTTCATCCATGTCATATTCCACACGTCCAATGGTAGTGTTAACGTCTCCATCTGTCATGGCAGGTTGAATCACATCAAGGTCATCTTCTTGGGTGCCTTCGGTCATCCGAATAAATCGCCGGTCATGGCGCAGAAAGAGATCACTCTCCTGGTATCCCACGTTTGCCATGGTCCGATCGACATAGTTTTGATGACCGACGCCCTTCTTCTCATAGAATGTGAAAGGGTCACGCAGTCTGAACGACGGTTTGGGGAGTGTGAGTTTCTCCCGGGGGTTTGGGCCCGGAGGCGGTATGATTTTTTGTCCTTGCTGGGCAAGAAGGGCATTAAGGATAGCCTCGGGGCGACGAGGTGGACGGCCAGGCCTGCGTTTGATTGGGATTGGAGAGGCCATTTCGCCTGATATGATGACTGGTGATCCTGAAAGGTCCGAGATTGTCGCACCAGCCAGTGACTCCAGGCTTAAGATAGGACCTGAGGTATCTGGAGCATCAACCTCTTCAGACGTGAAGACAGCAATTTTGCCATCAATGTCCAAGTCGGGATGAAACTCTTCCCACCCGCGTTCTTCGCGTGGCTTGTACCCATCGCCTTGTTGGAGAGCAAGAGCGGCGGCCGTTGAAGAGGTGAACCGACCACGGGCTTGGTTCTTGTCGCGCCTTGGACGCGACATAGAGGGCGGTGTTGTTGGTATGATGGGAGGTGGCGGTGGAGGGGCTAGAAATGGTTGCTCCATCTCATGTGGTGGACGGCTTCGAGCACTTGCGGAGTGGCGGCGGGGAGTAGTTCTCTTAGAAGTTTCTGGGGCAGTGGCGGCGACGACTGCTGCTTCAGCGTCGAAATCGATGAATCTTCCTCCTCCTCCAGGGCCACCTGGAACGTACTTTCGCTTCTTTGAAGGAGGGCCGTCAGGGGAATCGACGGAGCGGCTGTTGGATGATTTGAGGGAAGACCTAGGTTTACTGCGTGATGATCGACCTGAGATTGAATGTCTGGCCGTCGGTGCCATAATTCAAGAACAAGCTTTCGGGTGTGTATGTGCTCGTTGGGGATGAGGATTGTTAATCGGACGGCGTCAGGTCGCGTTCAGGGCCTGACTCAGGCAGGGCCTCGGGAAATATCAAAGTCGCAAGTATCAAGTCATGCGACAGGAAACTAGAAAAAGAAATAGACACAATGGACGTAAAGGACGCCAGAGCCCGTGGAACCTGCAAGGCGCGATGAGGTGTTTGGTTATCTAGTCAAGGCGGAGACGCCTGAGCTGTCTGGGCCTTTTGGCCTGAGGCGCCAATCTGGACTTGAAGCACCTCCGCAGGTTGACATGGGACATGACATCCACAGCTATCCTTTGCGACCTATCTGCGATTTTACTCATTCGATCGAGCCTTGATTTTTTTTTCTTTCACATAGATTTACAACATGAGCGGTTCTAGCGACACCAGGTACGCGTTATCTACCTCAAAACACCGCGCAGTTCAGCTTCGCTAACTGTTATTGCCCTCCTCAGATGGCGGGGCGGACCCAGTCGCCAGGGATCGCAGCGCAACTCGAACAACCGTGATAAAACAGGAGGACAGGGAAGCGCACGGGATAACAATGCTACCTGGGGCGCATCCAACCCTCCGCAGGAACAGCATGTTCCTGTACGGGGCTTCAACACCGCAGAGGTCAAGAACGTCCTGAAGGGTATGTATATGCATCTAATCTCCAAGTACAAGGGCTAACCAAGCTTTCGCGATATAGCAGGACCTCATGGTACGCCTTATCGCTGCCTCCATATATACTCAAGCCTAACCTATGCGCCATCGATACAGAAACCAAGTCGGCGGTGCCCTACAAATCTCATTCTAAAGACGGCCCTACCCAACGATCTACTGCCTGGGGTGCCAAGGGTACAGTCTCTCTTTGATCGCAGCATACCCTTGAGCGAAGAATAACCATATCTACAGCACAAAACATGGCGAACGGCAGAGACTTCTTCCTGGAGCTTCGGAAACAGATTACTTCGCTGCAGCGAAGCGGTCCCCCTGTCGGCGGCTGATCACGACGTTTACGACTTCATTATCTCAAAGTACTTGCATTGCACAGTCGGTCGGTCGCGAGTTTGGTTCGTTTTCATGGGTTGCTACGGCGCATCTTCGATACCCTACTGTGGAGGATGCATGGGTGATGAGTGGACTCGGAAGTTACATGGCATCGGCGTCTCCGATGGTTCTGGGTCTTACATGTCCATAATGCACTATGACTCCTGTTTTTCAAATTTATTCATTACAATTCATGCGCTGCATCGAAGTTTATGGCGATGCATTATTTTACACACGCTATTATACAGAGAGGGCATGTCACTAATATACAAGCAGGTAGCCATTCAGCTACAATTTTCACAATTTGATCCACCCCCCTGGGCCAAGGATACCTCCATCATCAGCCTGCGAGTCGAGGGTCCATGTCCGCAGAGGACGACAGCTGAGGTCGGATCGGAAGCCAGCTTCGAACATCTCAATGCCCGCCCACCCAATCATGGCCGCATTGTCGGTACACAAATATGGAGGCGGAGCAACAATCTTGATATGGCCAAAACCGCGCACTTCCAAAAATGAAGTAAGCACTTTCATGAGGAACTGGTTAGCGGCAACACCACCACTGACAACGAGGGTGTTGATGTCATTCTTGCCATTATTGTGCGGCCGCAGAGTCTCCAGAGCGATGACAGTGCGCGAGGCAAGGTGCTCGAAACAGACGCGCATGGTTTCCCGGCCTAGATCGACACGCTCTGCATTCGATATCTTAATATTCGTACCGTTACTTTGAATGATCCTGCCGACCGTGCTCGAAATCGAAGCAAAGCTGAACTGCATATGCCGCGTATTCGCAAATGGAGTCGTAAGATACCAGCCCCAATCGCTTATGCGCTTGGCTATTTCTTCACCCCGAGTCTCTGGCGGCGAGTAATCCGCAAAATCGGCCTTGCCGTTAGGGAAGACGAATTGCTCTACATTCTTGCCGTACATGGTACTTTTAGCTTCTTGAAGCAAAGAATCAGGTAGAATATCTCGTGCAGATTTATCCAGTGCCTCTCCAATAGCGATATCGTCGCTGTTAGCGAGAATCCTATGTTCTGTGAGGCCTTCCGAATGAACCAGAGTCGTATGGCCGCCAGAGGCGAGAATAGACAAGAAAGGGAATTCGGGCGGTGTGGATGGGTCGGCCTTGAGTTCATTTCCCAGGCATGAAACGAGTCGGGGTGTCAAAAGATGTGCCTGCATGTGGTGCACTCCGACCATGGGGATCTGCCATGCAACCGACAGCGCTTTTCCAGTGTCGAGGCCAACGGACAGGTTAGACCGCATTCCGGGGCCTCTTGTAGCGGATATGAAATCGGGGAGGCGGCGACAAGTCCCATCTGCCAATTTAAGTCCATCGCCAGTTTTTGACCCCGGTAGGTAATTAAGGGCTTTCTGTAGAAGCTTTGCGAGGTTGGCTTGGTGGGATTCGAGAGCGATGATAGGGTGAATTCCGCGATGCGCGCGTGTGTCGGCCATTACATTTTCGAGGAAATGAATTTTGGCCGTGCTCCCGGAGTCTTTCTTTGTTTTCTCAACGATAGCTACTGATGTATCGTCACTGTTGTTGGCAACCAATAATTAGTTGAGTGACCTTCTTTTTCGGGTGTTCATCTCCGCTTACCATGACGTTTCAATTGCCAACGTGAGCAAGCCACGGCGGGAGGCTAAACATCTCCCTGCATTTAGCGCCGACCTGCGAAAACTCGCAGCAGGGCTCACTGAGAATAACATTGGTAAAATGCTTGACGTACGATCGGTGGCAGGGGCGAAAAAGATCGGAGGCGCACGGGCCGGAGAAGCCCTTGAATGGAGCCCTAAACAGGTACCAAAATAGCCATCTATAGTGATCGAGCTACGGAGTACGTCCCAAAGAATCCTACATACAACAACCCAACAGGGATTGGTTGGGCGGAAGCTAAGGCCGGTATCTTGCTATTGGAATCGCGCATATATGGCTGAGGATAGTTACTATTGTATTTGCACTAACGAACGACTAGGTTAAACATTTATACTCAAAAATCAAAATCATTAATCCAGATCCCATCATAACGTCATAAATATATTGTTTCTCCAAGGCACTGATACATCGAGTTCCCTTCAGAATGTGCGGCGCGCACCAAACCCCAGTCAGCCCAGATGAATGATACTGACGAGTTCTGGGCCAGCAAAAAGCGCGAGGCGGCATAGTCATCCACAGAACCATCTTGCGAAGGCTGGACGGATACGTTAATGCGCCCTTCTGTCGTTTCAATTCGCAGTTTGAGGACGTCGATTGTCAGGAGCGCTAGGTGCTCCGTAAATTGATCCAACAAAAGAACCGGGGTGTAGGGCGTAGCATCATTGCAAGATGTAGACCCCGAATCATTCAGAAGCACCTGGTCGCTCCCATTACTCCAGCCGTGAAAGGTCATTAATGATAAAAATCTCGAACATGATCTCACTGCCGGACCGTCCATCGCCGCTCTTCTCGTGACATCTTCATGTGCTTGCCGTAATACTCGTCTGGATTCTCAATAGGCGTTACGCAGTGAACAGTCGGTGTCCCTTTGAATTGTATACGCTTGTCAACAGTGCCAGCGCGAGAGGACGACTGCTTCTTGAGGATGCTCTTTGATGAACAAGAGTTTGTGTATGCATAATTCGGAACCTGCAGTGAGGAAAACCTCTTGCTCGTCGGGCTCGCCGCGGAGATTGGCGAGACAGGCGTGCGAGGGAGAGCACTTGGTGACTTGAGTGATAGCGATGGCCGAGGAACATTCTGCGCAGCAGAGATGCTCAAGGATAGCTTTGGCTTGACGACACGGGCAGTGTACATTGTGACGGATGAAGAAGTTTAGTACAACAGTGCAGTTGGTGTTATTGCGATTTGGTTTTCACGGGGAAACTTTGCTCAACAAAGATATCCGAGTAGGCAAGGAGAGGAACAAATTATTGACGTAGATGTATAAGGAGCTGAAGAACTTGGGCCAGCCAAGGCGAAGAGACAAAAATAGAAAAATAAGAAAATAAGAAAATCTCAAACGATACGGAGTATGCAAAACAGTCTCCTGGGGGGGAAAGAGGGCGGCTATATACACTTGAGGGGGAGAGGGGAACCAACGAGGACTGCCAACCACCTTCTTCTGCCTAAGCGCCTACTCTATGCACGACGGTGCATATATCACAATCACTATCACTATCACGCCCGAGTTTCTAAACTTAGACAAGCCTTCATTCCATGCAGCCAATTAAATTCCCCACGGGGTGCAACTCCCGTCTAATGTGATGTGATGGACGGGCTGTCCAACATGCCCTGCAGCCAACTGCACATGGTCTTCCACCCTGGTCTTCTTCCCTGGTCGTCCTGTCCATTTGATTCGAAACTCTCGACCGATGATCACTCAATAGGTGAGGGATATCGCACTTACATAAAGTGGATTCCTGCATTATTCGGTGATATCCCCGCATTATCACAGTGGCTGGCAGTCAGCAGCGAAAGATGATTGGTTTGAATCTTGGCAGGATTGTTGTGACCTGCTATAATTAGATATCACATGGGTTTGATGCCGCTATCAACTATTTTTACTCGAGATTGAGCAATGAATGATGTCCATCAATCCTTCGATATAGTAGGCGCAGTTGTAACATATTGGTCACATTTCGTCTTCTGGGGAGCCAATTGACCTCTAGTCCTGACAAGATAATGCTCATCTATGTTACATTTCTCTTGCGTGATCGTCCTAGTGACTCGATTTCTTTATTTTCAAATATAGCACGTATCTGTACGGAGTACGATGCAATGGTTGAATATGTTTTATTAATAGTGCATCTACAACCAACGAAGAGTGGTTGACATGTATACATATGGAGTACGTACTATACTTACTCGGAAAACGCCAGGGGAGGAAGAGATTGGTTATGACATGAGCGACTAGCTATCCAACGTGGGCGTATGACTTGACCTGATACCAGGTGGTTAGAATGCAGGACAAGCACATGGGACAAACATATATAGAAAACACGTAAAGCTTGGAATAAATCACTCACTCGAGCTCCTATAAGTTTAGGAAATAGCATCCTACGGGGGGCTCAGTGTTCGGACATAGCTTGTTATGAGGATGAAGCTCTTGTTTGTTCAGATCAGTTAGGATATTGAGCTGTGATGGGTTGGGATAAATGCATCTTGGGAGGAGATGGGCTTGTAGAGATATTGTAGATCACTATTTGAGTTCATGGTTACTATGAATAACTAAACTCGAACAAAAATTGACAATGTCTTTGTTTTCCAAGGTGTACTCCGTAGAAGTCTTATAAAGAACTCGGAGAAGAAGTGGAGCGTATGAGCGACGACAATGCTACTGTATATGTACTAGATACGGAGCATGATTTACAGGGGTATCTTATTGATCCACCTTTGATAAACAAAAGAGTCCGCCATTTCTCGAAGATGTTAACCTCGGGACATCCATAAAATGAGTTTAATATGGCCAGCTGGGACTTGGAGGTTCTATATTATAACAGCCTCGGTAGCACTGCCAGATGTAAGGGCACTCGCTAGGATAACTTGTATTCCTCGCTATCTTAGATATAGTAACCCGCTTTCGAATTGATTGTTTGTCTCCTCTATACCGCGGATCTGCAATCTTGTATGGAGACATCGTCTAGAATCCCTCCGGGACTGCCGGCAAACCTTTAGCTGTCAATCGTTTCTGGAGCTCCAAAGGCTTAAGCTCAAGAAAAGGACCCTCAAGACCGGGAGTCGCGGGTGTTATAGCTACACCGCTACACCCCACTACTGCAATGTATGTGCTGATGATCCTGATTTATATATAGAATAACCGCTGTCAGTGAGTCCAACCCTTGCAATTGAGTTTGGTGAAAGCCGGAGATGTTTAGCATGAACTATAGCAATAGCTAGAAAGCATGCCAGAAAGCATGCATTATCTGATCGATTGCGGAGAAACAGGGGATAACGGTAGTCACATCAACACCCGGACTCGGCTCAACTCCGGCAGGCTTGGGAGGAGAGGGGAAAAGACGAGATGAGCCAATCCAAGTGGAATTCTCCAAATTCCTTCCCCACCGCACTCCGCACCGAACTCGGAGACTTTCCTTTTCGTCTTTTCGTCTTTTTGTCTTTTCGCCTTTTCGTCCACAGACTCACCGGTTCCGAATGGGCCATGTGACAGGATCCGGTTTCTTCCTCATCTGATCCTTCTCTTTGAAAGTCGGCTGCACGTCTCGGGTAGTGTGGTCTAGATCCCGTGTATATACCGTGGCTCATGGCGAGAAACCAAAGGGTTCGCGAACCAGAAGTACTAGTTGAGGCTAATTCAGGGACACATTTCTATACATAACATATACTATGTAGATATCGAGATATCCATAATGTGGAGATCGGTCCAAGGCGAGACTCTCCGATCCGGGTAAATAACACGCCATAATGAGAAACCCCAAGGGATCGAAAAAAATCAAAAAAAAAAAAAAAAAAACCACGTGGCCACGACAACGAAAAGGTATTGTTATTAGAGAATTAAAATATCAAATCTATCTAGATTACGAATAGTCACTCAAATATTATAAGAAACAATAAGGAAACTTTGCAGAGTGGGCTCCTTATATTAAAGTATCATAACTTTTTCTATTGACTCAGTCCTCCCTCTTCTCCACATCCCTCGCTCCCTTCCTTCCCCCAGTTTTTCTCTTTGTGCGGCCGATTTTTTTTTTGTTTAGAACTCAAAATCAACTTGGATATACACAATGGCCAGCGTAACAGAAGCTGTGAAGGAATCGTTCCTGGGCCACACCGAGGGGCCTCATCTGTCCTTCCAGGCGCGCTCAAACTTCCTCCGCCATGCGCAAAAGGACGAGAATGGTGACCTCTTCATGGATGAGGAGAACTTCATCGATGCCGTGGCACCGAAGCAGGAAGACTATGTAAGTATCACCACGGACTGCAGAGGTACCAAAATCTTCGCAATTGCTCATCTGGTTTCCTACCGCGGCAGCACAAGATTAAGCGCGAACAATATGGCATCCTTTTCAGCGTCGCAGACCGACGGAGAGCCGGCAGGCTGAACATTACCGACTGGGCCTCCTTCGAAAACCTCCTCGCGAAGCCCGACGCCGAGTACGAGATCGCCTTTCGTCTCTTCGACTTCGATGGATCCGGCACTGTCAACTTCGACACGGTGCAGGGACTGTACAACCTGAACAAGAGTCCGGACAGCATTCCCTTCAACTGGAGCTCGGAGTGGGCATCGCTGTACGGAGGCCGCTCAAAGTCTCGCCATGACATGACCTACCCCCAATTCGCCCAGATGCTGCGCGGTCTGCAGGGTGAGCGCATCCGCCAAGCTTTCCACATCTTCGACAAGGATGGGGATGGCTTTATCCAGCCCGAGGAATTCCAGCGTATCATCCTCGAGACCTCAAAACACAAACTCTCCGACTACGTCCTGGAGAACCTCCCCACCCTGTGCAATATCTCGACGAGCAACCGCATCTCTTACGCCAATGTCCGTGCTTTCCAGAATGTCATGCGCGAGATGGATATCATTGATTTGGTTGTCCGCGAAGCAATAGAGAAGAGCTCCGATGGCAAGATCACCCGTACCGACTTCCTGGACGAGGCCGCTCGCGTGACCCGTTTCTCGCAGTTCACACCCATGGAGGCCGATATTCTGTTCCACTTCGCTGGCCTGGATGCGCCTTCGGGACGTCTCTCGCAGCGAGACTTTGCCAAGGTCATCGATGCTTCATGGCGTATCCCCGTGATCGCTGTAAGCCATGCCATGACTACCGGAGAGGAAGTTGTCGAGAAGACCAAGAGTCTGCTGCACAACGTTCTTGAGTCGGCTCACCACTTTGCTTTGGGCAGTATCGCTGGTGCTTTTGGTGCTTTCATGGTCTACCCCATTGATTTGGTCAAGACCCGCCTGCAGAACCAGCGTTCGTCTCGCCCCGGCGAGAGACTGTACAACAACTCCATCGATTGCGCTAGGAAGGTTATCCGCAACGAGGGTTTCACTGGCTTGTACTCCGGTGTCATTCCTCAGTTGATCGGTGTGGCGCCTGAAAAGGCTATCAAGCTGACCGTGAACGATCTCGTTCGTGGCCACTTCACAGACAAGGAAACCAACCGGATCAAGTACCCTCACGAGCTTCTGGCTGGTGGAACTGCGGGTGCTTGTCAAGTCGTCTTCACAAACCCCCTTGAGATTGTGAAGATCCGTCTGCAGGTCCAGGGTGAAATCGCAAAGAACGTCGAGGGTACCCCTCGCCGCTCGGCTCTCTGGATTGTCAAGAACCTCGGTTTGGTAGGCCTGTACAAGGGAGCTACCGCCTGTCTTCTCCGCGATGTGCCCTTCTCGGCCATCTACTTCCCCACATACGCACACTTGAAGTCCGACTTCTTCGGCGAAACCGCTACAAAGAAGCTGGGCGTTGTCCAGCTCCTCACCGCTGGTGCCATCGCCGGTATGCCCGCCGCCTACCTCACCACCCCATGCGACGTCATCAAGACCCGTCTGCAGGTCGAAGCCCGTAAGGGTGAAACCAAGTACCACGGTCTGCGCCACTGCGCTGCTACCGTCTGGAAAGAAGAGGGTCTGGCTGCCTTCTTCAAGGGTGGACCCGCCCGTATCATGCGTTCTTCGCCCCAGTTCGGTTTCACCCTCGCCGCTTACGAGGTCCTGCAGAAAACCTTCCCCATGCCCGGTGAGGGCGAAGCCATTACCCCGACTGGCTTCGTCGAGCCTAGTGTCGGTGGGCAGGGTGCTACCGCGCCCCTGCCTTACCTCCGATCAAGGAACGCGCTCAAGATCATCCTTGACCTGGATGAGAACTTTGGCCGTGTGAAGATCCCACGGCCTGAGAACTGGCCCAACTTCATGCGGAGCTCGAAGTAGACAGGCTTGCTGTATCTAGTGAACCTGCGATTTCTAGTCTTTGTTTCTTCATTTTTGTTACTAGCGATATGTTTCCCATTTCTCATTTGGTCAAGGCCTACCTTTCCCTCGATTTAGCATGAGATCTTTCTCACATTTCTTTTGGATTATTTTCCTCTCCGCCCTCTTCATGGTTCAATTGGGCTTGATTTGGGACGTGCATCCACGCCCCCCTTTGCATCATATTGTCTTCTCTTTCTTGTCGGAGAACACCTGTGTTTGCATTGTACCAATAGTAGATAGATTTGGAAAGAAGGTGTGTGGGTTGTATTAGAGGCCCTGGTTGTGGTGGTTCTATCAATCTAGATCTGGTCCGAGTTGTTATTCTCCGGTTTGATGTGGATGGAAGCGTAGATATATATATGGCCGGATGTGGTTCGTGGTTGATATAAGTTATGCCTAGAGAGCAGATAGATCCTGTCTAGAGCAACGGAATATTTGGCTGCATTTGTATTGCAGTATTTAAATTTTATTGATTTGGAGTTATCTATCTGGAAAATATGTACATGAAGCATGATTTGCAAGTTCGCAAACGGGTATCGGAATCTACTCTCAAGGAAAGATTCCCTGTACAGATGATGTTACATTTATATCCTCGAGGATATATCGGTCATGGACTGGGGCCATGTGTGGGAAATGCCAAACCCAATTGTCGTGGATAGAGGGGAATCCTATCGTGATCTAGAAGATCAATTCGACATCTTAAGCCGGCAGCGGCCTAATGGGGTAGTGTATACCCCGAGTTCACAAGGCCGATGCTCAAGACCAGAGGCGCATTCTCGATGAAGACCAAAGTAGTCCCCATTCAATAGAATCTAAGCTTTCGTGTCGGCTCTGTCTTAGGAACCTCATCGGTGCCTTTGCCTTCCGAAGACTGTGCGGGCTGCTTTTGTTCTTTCTCGGGCTCCTGGCGCTTCTCTGCTTGTGTCTGGGCGGTCTTCTTCTCATGCCATAGGGAATCTTCGGCTTCAATCTCGCGCAGCACTAGATAGAAATAGTCAGACACCAGCCCTCAAAATATAGTTGGATATTGGCTAACACACCCTCATCCCACTCTCGTTCCTTTGCCTCATCGCCCGTTCCCAGTAACTTCTCAACATCGACCTTCTCTCCATTCTTGACTCGTGCAATAATCTCCGCTAGAAGTTCGATCTTCGCATCCGTCGTCCGAGTATACGCCGCATAGCCGTTCTTCAAGGTGAGCATGCGAATGGCTTGCGACCCGATCAGGGTAAACATGATGATGTAGAACGTCGCCGGGTTCCATTCCTTGGATTTCTCTTTCGCAGGATCCTTGCGCGCCCTGCCACCCCGAAGAAATCGGGGAATCATTGCCGTCCATACTGACGTGTCTGCGATCTTCGGAAGGCGATCGGAGGTCGAATATGAGCGCCGAGTCGGGGCGCGGCATTGTCTGGTAGCATTTGACGTAGAAGGAGCAGAAAATATCTGTCTGCTGAGCCCAAAGGGCTTGAATCTGAAAGCCATAACCTGTTCGCGTCTAGCAGCAACTGTCGGTTCTCAGAAGCGGGAAAAGTTGAGGTCGTGGTTGCCTGAGGCGATAAGGCTATCAACGCCAAATACGGTATAGCGCAGTTGTTGCTGCGACAACCCCCCGTTTACAGTCCGGCCGATAGCGATTGCACATCAAAGGCTTGACGCGAGCGATGACCTCAGTCCTGCAGCTTCAATAGAACGACCGAAAAAATGGCGGTCACCGTCTTACCGTCAAGCTCTCTAACAGAGTCCGTGAAACAGGCCCTCCGCTCAACGACAACATGCTCGGACGCTACCGTGTTGTCCCTCCAAACACTCCTCCGCGGGTCGCCAAAGATGCCCGAGAAACCCACGAAACGCACAAAATCCACAAGAGATCCAGTCGCGGCGCCGAGCCGAACGAGAAATTCCCGCGCGACAAAGACGAAACCTGCAAATGATGCTACGCTCCAATCATTCGCCGATCACGATGCGGCGGCGTTGTCGTGTCAGGAGAAACTGGTCTTTGCTACAGAGGTATTCAACGCCACGTTAAAGACCCTCACGGACGCCGCGAAACTATCTACAGCCAAGCGCCAGAATAATACATCCGACATTGCCAATGGGCCCGACGCAGGAATCGTCTCGGCTGCGGAGTGTGCGAGACTTTCTTTGTCCACACTGCGCACTCTCAAGAATGATGCTGGGAATGACCTGTTCCCGAACATGCAGCTCGAACAGGGGCTGTGTGTTCTTGCGGGAAAGCTTATTTCGCTGGGACTGAACGACATGGCATATAAAGAGCTTCGACTTTTGAAGCGGAGAATCCAACAACATTTGGATCGCGGAAAGGCCGGGAAGAAGACCACAGAAGCAAAGGATGTGGTGGAAGAAGAATCTTCGAAGGAAAGAATGTCGGATCTCTTGACGTTTGCTCACATCTCGAACGCAAAGTCGCTATACGCCTTGCTTGTTCCCTTTCACTCGAATGTGATGCGCCTATTTGCTGCGGATAAAAGAGCCTCCACGATCCAAAAGGCTTGCTCTTCATTGCAACTTTCTGATGCGAGTAGTCCTGCTCAAGTTATTTTGGCTGCCTTGAAATCAGGCCAACTATCAAATGACAAAGCTGCTCTCCAACTCCAGCTATTATCGAATACCGTTCTATCGCTTTGCTCGGGGACATTTTTCTCGAAGGATGAGGCCTCGAATGGCTTGAAGCCAATGACCTCATTGGCCCTTCAATTACTTTCCCTCGAGGTTCGATGTTTGGGCTGGAAGTTGTCCGGTCATGTCTATGATGAGAGCAAAGAAGTATTTGATCCTTTGCTTCGCTATTTTGGTAGCTTTTCTCACCGGAGCAAGGGTATTGACAAAGCTGAGTTTGCTTCAATTTACAAAACCGTTACCCGGTTGCAAACATCCATTGCAGAGGTCAAGAAGAAGTATTCAGAAACACAAAACGCCAACCAGGCTGCCAAGCTCATGACTATTCTCGGGCAGCTTGCTTTCGACGCGGGTTGTTTTGATGAGTCTATGAAGCTGTTCACGGAAGCCATCAATCCGCTTTCAAAAACCCAGTCTCTTTCGCTCGCAACAGTTCGGTGTAAAATTGCATCTGTTCATTTTCAGGCTTCGAAGACATCAAAAAAGTTCCTGAACGGAGCTTTGGATTCTGTGTCAGAGGCGACTCAATCCCTAGGATTGCAATTAAGAGGCAGCGCAAACGATCTAGATGAACTGCTGGTGGAAGCTGCAAGACTGAAGAAGCTGGCTCTTGCGTGGTTCGGAGAGGCTATTACAAAAGGTTCTGAGAGCGAAAGCGCGAAAAACGAAGTTGCTAGTCAAATCAGGGAATATCTGCAAGCGTTTATCAGGTTTCTCAGACGCTTTGTTGGACGCCAACCAACAGAAGACAGCGACGAAAATGAGATCGAGATGTTCAACAAACGCATTTCAATTTCTAGAAGCATCATTCTAACTGCCATTGACTCTACTGTCGCAATCGGGAAACTTTCTATCATGTCTCAGAGGCCACCTTGGGAAGACATGCTTCCAATTCTGGCTGATAGCCATCGCCTGCTCTCGACCATCGAAACCACCGATGAAAATAATACAGAGATATCAGAAGGCCTAGGGATGGCACTTGTGAAGCTTTCAAACTTGTTCTGGTCTCGATACATCAAGGAAAAAGAGGCCGGACAGGGTTATCGAGACCTCATACCCCTTCTCAAACAATCTGTCCAGCTACTTTCAAGTTGTTCGCCTCCTCAACGCAACACGGCATTTGCAGCTCTCAAGTTCGAGAGACTGGCTCATCTTTACATCGAGGGCAACATGTACATTGAATCAGAGCAAATGTTCCGAAAATCGATTGAAGAATACATACTCTCTGGCACCCTAGACCAGATTGCTAAGAGCAGCGGAGGACAGAATCCAAGTTCGCTCAATCTGGATCCTAAGAGCCCTGGTTTCATGCTTGGCCGTGTATTTTCTGCCCTTCTGAAGATGAAGCTGCGCAGGAAGGGATCCCACCCGTCCGTTGTCTATGATGATGTTGAACTAGAATTCGAACAGAGATGTCTTCTTATTGAATGGCAGATGAGTTTGCTTGTTGAAATGCCTGGTTATTCTTCAAATGAAGAAGAGTTTCGCTTGATTCTCGGCTCAGCTGTTTCTTCACTCCTCGATCTCTACCCCTTTGACGTCTATCCTATTCGCCGTTCTCGTGTGATTCTCTCTGCCTTGCGGCTTCTATTGGAGCAGCCCACTGCCTTGGATTCGTCTTTGATTCAATCCCTGCTGGATGCAGGAGCAGAGGCTTTGGATACCGGCTTACAGGTCCGAGAAGATGTCGATCTTGCTTCATTTGCAATCCACATTAACAACTCATTGCGCGTTATCATTGGCTTCCACCGTGGCAAGATCGATGCAAGCGAATTAGACGACACGCTTGCGTCGTGGAACTCGTTGGCGTCCCAGTCCCATGACTGGAAAACATTGCTGCTCTGCATCAATGACACGGACTACTGGGTCCTGCAGCTGAAGGCCCTAGTTGATTATACCGAAATCCACGGGCTTTGGAAGGCTCAGCTATGCACCCTGGAACTTATATTGCGTGCCGCGGAGCTCCAGCAATCAGGGGATCTGTCAGACGCTATCATAATTCTGTCGCGCTTGGTACTGCAGAATTGCCGTCTGGGCTACTGCCAGAAGGCAGGTGAACTGCTATCGCGTGGTGAGCAGTATCTTGCGCAAACCAAGGTTTCTTCTCTTGCTACCATTTCCTATAAAGTCGCACGGGTGGAATATCTTCTAGAGACCGGAGAGATCGAGAAAGCCGCCGCCGTTCTTTCAGCAGCCCGCTCACTGTACGAAAAATGCCAAAGGTCAGAACTAAGCAGCTTGACTGTCCTGTCGAAGATCTCATGGGAAAGACTGGTAGCAGATGCTGCCTTTGTTCAGTCCAGGTTGTTCTCCGTACAGGGCTCAGCGACCCAAGCTCTGTACTTCGCAAAGTTGTCTGTAAGGCTCAACTGCCGCATATGGGCCAAGGTTGAGAGACTCGCCCAAAGAAAGCAAGACAAGCTCTTGCCTGCTTCAGGGAATTCTGATGTTGAGGCTGTTGCTGATGGTATAGCAAAGCTTGATTTGTCTCAGAATGGGTGTTCCCCGGATGTGTCTGCCAGCTACATCCAAGGTGCGCCTTTCTGGCCTCACCTAGGTTCTCACCATACCTGCTTGTTGAACCTCGCCACTTTATCTGCCCACCATGGCTTGTTCCAGGATGCTATCTATTACGGCGAACAAGCGCTGAAGATTGACAAGACCCTTGATGCCAATGTACGGCTACTGGCGGCGCAGACCCAGCTCGGTTGCCATTGGATTCTTAGTGGCCACATGAACGAGGGTCAGGATCATCTCTCTGCAGCGGCCGAATCTTCTAAACAATCCCAGAACAGTATTGAAACGGTGTCTTTTCAAATGGCCCTTGCGTCTCTGTACAAGGCGCAAGGTGCACATGACAAGGCATTGCGCGTTCTCCTTGAAGCAGATAAAATCATCACAGCGGTCACCTGTGCCGATATGACTGCTAATCTGGAGATGTCAGGCATGGCAGAAATCGAAGAAAAGATGGACAAGTTACGGGTTAGAGCAACCAGCCGGCGAACTCCAACACCTCGAACCCCGACACCTACGGCTAGTACTACTCGGCGGACACGTGCAACCAGTTCCGCTGCTCCCAAAACCCCAAAGAAAGCTCCAGCTCCAAAATCAATTCTCCCGGACGTTCAATCTCAATCCCTATTACAACTTAAAGGCAACATCCTTCGACAGCAAGCTGATTGCCTGCGGAAGTTGCGTGACTTTGAGCGATCTGCGCAAACACTTGCAGAGGCTAGACAATTTGCCGTGGCCCGAGAAAGCAAGATCACTCTGGAGATCGGTGAAAGCGAGCACCTGTTGGCTGATGCAATTCGCCGCTTTGCCAGCCATGCTGTGTACTGCGTCTTACCCGAATCTACAATCTCGCTGCCGTCACTCAAAACACCAAGCAAGACGGCAGAGGAGCCTAATTTACCCCCGGCAAGACCGACAAGGAGAACGAGAGCTCCCGCCAAAACAACGCGCACTAAGGCTCAACGAGCCAGTGATGACTTTTCGGTTATGCTGTCTAAGGCGAGCGATTGTCTTGCCAGTGTTTTCTCCGATGCCACAATTCTAGGCTCGACGCTTGACAGCCATGCGGCATCTCGCTTGATGAGTCGGATCTCTATGCTATCACATGCGACTTCCCCTGGAATACCAACGGCTCTGGCCCAGTCGCCCGCAAATATGAATGGTAAGCTTTGCGAGGTCCTTTCTGGTTGACGGATATCTGACTTTTTAATTAGAGATTGGACGTGTTGGCGCATTTGCCCGGGAGCGCATGGCGATTGATATCGATCGACAGTTGGCCGGTTTTGCCGACCCTCTTCTTTGGCCAACCTCGTTCCCTTCAGCGGTCGAGCTTGACAATGATCTTTGCTCCAACTTTACACGAGATTATGTCGACATTCTGCCCGAGACTTGGAATGTTCTTTCTTTGTCATTGAGTGCAGACCATACCGAATTTGTGGTTTCTCGACTCCAAAAAGACCGCTCGCCATTCCTTCTGCGCCTTCCCCTCCACCGAGGAAATTCAGAAGATGATGATGAAGAGCAATTTACCTTTGAGGACGGAAAGGAGGAAATGCAAGAACTCATTAAGCTCGCCAACGAAAGTGCACATGCAGCCAAGGCCCAGACGGACAAGTTGTCGAAGAAGGAATGGTGGAAGACCCGCGAAGCGCTCGATCGTCGGATGGAAAATGTACTTCAAAATATTGAGAACATATGGTTTGGAGGGTTCCGCGGTGTGTTTTCGCCTCTGTCACGGGATACTACCGCGCTGGTCCGGTTCGCAAGCACCTTCCAAAGCATCCTTGACAAGCATCTTCCTTCTCGGCAAAAGGGTGGCAAGGCCGCTGGCCCCCGACTCACACTACATCAGAATGTGGTGGACTTGTTCATTGGGCTTCGCGATCTTGAAGAACAAGAGGAGCCCGAGGACACGCTGATGGATCTTCTTTACTTTGTCGTTGATATCCTACAATTCCAGGGCGAGCGCAATGCCTACGACGAGATTGACTTCGATATGATGGTCGTAGATACCCTCGATGCCTTGCGAGGGTATCATGAAGCTGCGCGCGATGAACTTGCAGCACGGCCGCCGAGACATACAATCCTCGTGCTCGATAAAGCTCTCCACCTATTCCCATGGGAGTCACTTCCCTGTCTCCAAGGATACCCTGTTTGTCGCGTCCCATCCCTCGAATGCCTCAGGGACCGAGTTCTTCAATTCCGCGAGGCATCCTCCGGAGCCATTGTGGACCGCAACTCTGGTGGATTTGTCCTCAACCCAACAGGCGACCTGCACACAACGCAAAAAACGTTTGAACAAGATCTCTCCCGGTTCAAATCCTGGACTGCAATTGTGCAGCGCGAACCAACTGAAGATGAATTCCGCGACGTACTGGAAAAGAAGGGCCTATTCCTGTACTTCGGCCACGGCAGCGGCGCGCAGTACATCCGCGGCCGCACGATCAAGCGGCTCACGCAATGTGCTGTTACTTTCCTCATGGGATGTAGCAGCGGCACTTTGACCGAAGCCGGCGAGTATGAGCCCTACGGGACGCCGATGAATTATCTCCATGCAGGCAGCCCCGCGCTCGTGGCTACGCTGTGGGATGTCACGGATCGGGACATTGACCGGTTTACCACGACTGCCTTTGACGCTTGGGGTCTGGTCGAAAAGAAGGATAAAAAGGATAAGAGCCGAGGGGAGGATGTTGGGCTTGACACGGCAATTGCGCGCTCGAGGGGTGCGTGTGTGTTGAGGTATCTCAACGGCGCAGCGCCTGTGGTTTATGGAGTTCCGGTGTTTTTGGAGTGAATTGAGTTCATGTTTCTCTCTTATTTTGTATATATACCTGGCGTTTTCTCCACTGTGGGCAGCAATCTGATTTGACTCTTCATGCTCGACCTTTCAATGGGTTATTGTTAATATATATGTCCATCTGTTATGGTATATCCTATCTAAGGTGCAGTTAATAGACTAGACAATGTCCAATGCAGTAGCTCTAAACCCTGACATCGAATATCATCTAGATACATAGACTATCTATATACTCCTGTAAAATCTATAAAATCCGAAATAGGAAGAATTATCCTATCGAGGTGGACCTCTTTTCCCCTCATGCGGGACACATTCCCCCCACCTTAAAACGTCAACGTCTCCCGGCTCGTAGCTTTCTGTTCTCTTTCTTTTCTCCTTCTAACATTGGAAGATACATCAAAATGTCCGTCACCACAAACGCAACCATCGCCTCCTTCGGTGGCAAGCTCTTAAAGCTAAGCCATGCCGCCACAACCACAAAATGCGAGATGAAATTCAACCTCTTCTTGCCCCCGCAGGCCCAGACACAGAAAGTCCCTGTACTGATCTACCTCTCCGGTCTGACCTGCACCGCCGATAACTGCTCCGAGAAGGGCTTTTTCCAGCACAGCGCCAGCAAGAAGGGAATTGCTGTGCTGTACCCTGATACCAGCCCACGTATGTGTCTTCTGTTTTATCGCGTGAATTTTCCATATACCTTTCTATCAATTGAAGTCATACGGTTGAAAAGTAAAGAATTATATAATTAACATGCTCATCTTCTAGGCGGCCTCAACATCCAAGGCGAGGACGATGCATACGACTTCGGCTCCGGCGCCGGCTTCTACGTCGACGCCACCAAAGCCCCCTACAACGCCGGCTATAACATGTATAGCTATGTCACCAATGAATTGCCACAGACCGTCTTTGCTGCTTTCCCGCAGTTGGATGCCAGCCGTGTTAGTATTACTGGCCACAGTATGGGCGGACACGGTGCTCTCACTTTGGTAAGTTATACACTGCGGCACAAAAGCTGGAAAGAATATCTTGTATTGGAGTAATATTTATCTAACCATTCATCAGTTCCTCCGTAACCCAGGCAAGTACAAGTCCGTCTCTGCCTTCGCGCCGATCACGAACCCGACGAACTGCCCCTGGGGCCAGAAGGCGTTCAAGGGCTACTTCGGCGATGATCAGCAGGATAAGTGGAAGGAGCACGATGCTACCGAGTTGATTAAGAAGTGGAGTGGGGGTCCGCTGGATATCCTGATTGATGTGGTGAGTTATCTCCTCCCTTTCTTCTGTGTATCGTAACACGTCTAACCTATATACAGGGCACCGGCGACAACTTCTACAAACAAGGCCAGCTGCTCCCGGAGAACTTCGAGGCCGCAGCCCGTGACGCTGGAATCGCCGGCTTGAATGTTCGCTACCAGCCTGACTATGACCACTCCTATTATACCATGGCTACCTTTGCGGATGACCATGTTGAGCATGCGGCCAAGTATCTCTTTGCATAGTGTGTGCTCTCTTCTTAACTCCTAATCTCAAAACCATTATGTTTTACTTCTTGTCTTGCGTATTTCTTAGTAAACGGGATCTGATTGGTTTTTCTTTTGGCTCAAGTGGGCTACAGGCTGTTCGGTCGATGATCTAGATGGTGTGAGAACCGAATGAGAAGGTATTATTATGCTATGGATAGTGCAATCATCTTGCAATGCTAACTCAAGGTTACCTTATGCTACACATTTTGCCGGGGTATGAGTGACTTACATCGAACTTTCCTGAAATAGCTTTGATGTTTCGCTCAAGAACTAGTTCCGTAGGCTTGCAGATCCCAAAGCCTTCTGGTATACCGATCCAGCTAGTTGGGATGGTGTTCTCGTTGAAAATGGGGCGTATTGCGTGGATTCCACCTTGGCCTTCAATAACCGTAAATCCTATCAGTTGCTCACCGTAGAAATTGAGTGTGACGGAACCCCCTGGTAGCCGATACCCCAAAAGTACATTTGGCCTTTCGGGATCTGCATTCAGCAGGTCGAAGCCAGTAATATAGGTCTCTGCTCCCTCACGTTGGATAGAGACTGCTAAGCCGTTGATAGAGCTTTCTAATAGAACGACTTGAGAAAAGAGCTTATGTTCTGCCCAGCAAATGCGGCATTCATTCTCTTTTCCCCCATGTCTGTTTTCTGGTCTGCTGTCTCTATCGCATCGGAACTCAGTAGAAACCTCCTTCCAGCATAACTCATTAAGTAACCCCTGGTTCGAGACAATATGCTCGTCCGACGTTCTGATCATAGAACATCTTTCTATTAGCCATCGGTTATTTCTCCACCGTCGCCGTGTTGCCCAGAGGTGCTCATCACACCGATCGATCCTTGCTGTACAGCGGTATATGAGTCGCCAGTTTTTGCTCTCACGTTTTCTGGGATTTTCTGCTAGGCAGTTCAGAAATCCACGATCTCCATTCTGTGAAAATCTTGACTTCCAGAATGATTCAATTCCGAACACAACTGCCATTGCTCGGGATGATTGCCGTAGTCTTAGGAAGTCAGCAGTACGAAGATAAGTTGCGATTTGAACTCGTATCTCGAGAGGCAGGATGCTAAAGCAGTCAGAGTCATGCACAACTCTACTCTTCGAGCCAGAGTGCTTTCGTCTTTTCGGCATCTTCGGGAATTGTCTCGCAGCATCCTGAAGTCCCTTGATAATGGGTCGTTTTGCAGGGCGAAAATGATGCCGCAATCCGAGATCCCCGCAGTTGTCTAGGTCTGTTAAAAAAGCCGGCACCAATATTGCCATGGCCACTTACTCCAATAGTCTCGTCTTCCCGGAGGAGGAATTTCCTTACAGACTTCAAAAAGCCTGTTTAAATCAATATCCTCCCCTTCAAATTGCTGGACCAAGAGAGACCAGCAGCTCTCATGGACTAAGAAAGCCTTGTGGGGCTTTTCTATGTGCATGAAATACCAAGATTCAAGTTTATTAGGATCACCGAACGCTTCTTCAACCACCCAGTCAAACTTGGTTTTATTAACACCTGACAGTTGGATTCCGCTTCTGGTCCGATATACTATGGTGGATGAGCCCGGTGCAAGAAGTGTACTTATAACATAGGGATCAAACTCACATACTCGGTACCTTGCCATCCAAGGAGCCTCAGGGCAAATAGTTGCTGCGCAAGATACACAGTGACTGGAATAATCAGAATCACTGTTCTCCGTAAGTAAGCTCATCTGGAAAAATTTGAGAAGGACAATCTGATGTGGGGGCAGAGATCTATAAATATGCCAATCTGTAGAGGGGTCACTATGACCTCAGTCTATCTATACTCACTTAGAATGACCTTATTGAAGATAACATGACAGGAGAACTGCAGTCGAATCATCTCCTTAGATAATAGCCCAGAGAGCAATACTAATCAGATAGTTAGAAGATTAGAAGTCTGACATGTGTCTTCCATAAATTCAAACGAGTGATATTTGTCTCTGATTATATTTCATCCCTTATCACCCTTGGAATCGTCTCTCCTTAATAAGTGAGCTCGATTTACTCACTTCGCTTTATTGAAACAAGTGTTCTTCCATCGCTACACCTATCAAGCCTCATTGGCTCTCGTGTCCACTATACTGCTCTATTGCTAAACAGAGGCTTTTTGTTATTCGTCAATAAGTTTTTTCCTCTGCAATACCCGACTCTAATATATTGTTTCTCTTCTTTCTACTAAATCAGTAGATTCGACAAAGAATTACATCAAACAGTTACAAGTTCCACTTGTATTGCAAGGAGGCGCTTGGCCTAATGAGGTTAGTATATGTGATTACCTAAGCAGGCTAAAATTCACGATGTCCTCGGTAGCCTCAGGCATCTACGCTAACCTATTTTGGCTAAAATGGCCTCCCTACGGCGCGCCGCAACGCGAACTCCAGAAACCAAAATCACAAAGCTTTCAACCCAACTCGACCTCAACTCTCAACTACCTTTCTCATCTGCTTTCCAGTCATTTTACACCTCTTTTCTCTGCATTTTATCCTCTCAACTGCGACAATTTTACATACACAAGCTCCATTATGTAAGATTTTTCGCAGCGGTTCCCGTGTCTGGCACTGACCATCCTACAGGGAGAGCTTCGACAACATCTACTTAGACCTTTCAAAGCAACCTGGAAAATGCAAGCTTGCTGAAAGTGGTCTGGGCTGGCGTCCGTCTGGTGGTGGCGATACTTTCACGCTCGACAGCAGCAACATCGGTGCAGCCCAGTGGAGTCGCGCTGCGAAAGGCTTTGAGCTGAAAATCCTGTCGCGATCGTCTGGAGTGATCCAACTGGATGGATTCGACCAAGAGGTATACTACACCGAACATTTTGCGACCATTGGCCTACAGACTGACAACCGAAAAGGACTTGGAGCGACTGAGCAAAGCATTTAAGATTTGGTACGGCATTAACGTGGAGACCCGTGAGCACGCTCTGCGGGGATGGAACTGGGGCAAGGCAGAATTCACAAAGGCAGAGCTGGCCTTTAACGTCCAAAACCGACCCGCCTTCGAGATTCCTTATTCCGAAATTTCAAACACCAATTTGGCTGGAAGAAATGAGGTCGCCGTTGAATTTGCCCTCCCTACCGGCGACGGAAACGATGCCGTGACAAAGCCCGGAAGCACAAAGAACCGGGGCCGCAAGGCTGCTGCAGGCCCCGACGAGCTCGTTGAAATGCGATTCTACATTCCCGGAACGGCCGTAAAGAACGACAAGGCGGAAGGCGCTGAAGGCGAGGAAGAAGATAACGAGGAAGAGGCCGAGGAACAGAATGCTGCAAATCTCTTCTACGAGACGCTTATGGACAAGGCCGAGATTGGAGACGTTGCCGGCGATACCTTTGCCACCTTCCTGGATGTTCTTCACCTCACGCCCAGAGGTCGCTTCGATATTGACATGTACGAATCATCCTTCCGGTTGCGCGGAAAGACATACGACTACAAGATTCAATATTCGGCCATTAAGAAATTCTTCCTCCTTCCTAAGAATGACGATACCCACACTCTTATTGTGCTTGGTCTTGATCCCCCTCTGCGACAGGGTCAGACCCGTTATCCTTTTTTGGTTATGCAGCTGAAGCTGGACGAAGAAATTAGTCTTGAGATGAACATGACAGAGTCGGTTTCCCTGCACCTACTCTATTTTACCCACTAACAACCTTTTAGGGATATCCTGAAAGGCCAGTACAAGGACAGGTTGCAGGCGCACTATGAAGAGCCAATCCACCAAGTCGTCACCAAGGTCTTCCGTGGCTTATCTGGAAAGAAGGTCATTATGCCTTCCAAGGATTTCTCCAGGTCAGTAACTGCCAGCTTATATTTGCAACACCCCCGAAGCCCATCGCTAACATTCCCATAGCCACCACGGTCACCAAGGCGTTAAGTGCTCAATCAAGGCCAACGAGGGTCTACTGTATTTCCTGGATAAGAGTTTGATGTTCGTTCCTAAGCCCGCGACCTACATTCAGATGGAGAACATCGCGATTGTCACAATGTCACGTGTCGGAGGCGCTGTTTCTGCCAGCCGAACTTTCGACATCACTGTGAGCCTGAAGGGGGGCTTAGGTGAGCACCAATTTAGCAACATCAACCGGTAAGTACCCGACATTTTCCTGTTTCCTGGAATATTCTGACATGAACAGCGAGGAGCAAAAATCCCTCGAGGACTTTTTCAAGGCCAAGAACATCCGCATCAAGAACGAGATGGCAGAAGAGGTATGTGAATCCTGTTTCCCTGGTATGTTGTTACCGCTGCTAATTATTTCCTAGGCTGCTGGACTTATCGCTGCTGCTCTTGATAATGATGCCATGGGCTCCAGCGACGATGAAGTACGACCCGACCGCGGATCAGCAGATGAGGATGAGTCGTCAGTTGACGAAGACTTTGCTGGTTCTTCAGAATCTGATGTGGCCGAGGAATTTGACTCGGATCACGAGAGTAGTGGTGATAGCGATGAAGAGATGGGCGATGCCTCCGATGGAGGAGACGACAAACCGGAGGATGAGCGACCGAAGAAGAAGACGAAGACAGCTAATTAGATGTACGGCTAGGTTTTTCGTTTTCTTTCAAAATATCCAAGTCTCTTCTAGTAATACACCATTCTATAACTATAGGATGTTACTCCGTATGTTCCTGACTAGTGGACCTCACGTGAGCTGGTGATTGGCGGACCAATTCTGGGGCTTGTTAACCCCTGATCTCAGGAGAAGAGATATCTGGCAAGTACACAAGTAAGTATACATGTACATTTATGTGAGTGGATTCTGAGCAGTCCTCGCCAATAGAAATCTCCCCTTGCTAGTCAGAAATAGAAATGCAGTCCTATTGCTTAGAACTAAAGTGCAGTTACGAGCAATTTGCGGGTTTCTACAATGTACCGAAGTAAACAGAGTAGAAAAGACCCGAAATATAGATCAAATAGGAGCAATTCAAGCAGATAAATAGAAGAAAGATAAAAAAATAATCCAATATATGAGAGATACCAGTCCAAAGCCAGAATGGTAAGAATTGTATACTTATCGAACACATCAGGTGTTTCTACGCGGGTCGATCCAAGCCAACTCCAGAATAGCTGGGCTCCCCCCGACAACCTCTCCCCCCTTTCTTTCCCAGACTGGCAGAGTCAACCTCCTTCTCTCCATCCTCCTTGTTCATCTTTCGCTTCATTTCTTCCTTCTCCTCTTCTTTTCTTTTCCTCGTCTCTCGCTTCTGGTCAATTTACTCCAACCCCCCCCCCCTTTTTTTTTGGAAACAATTCCAGGTACATTCCCTCTGCTCCCCGATTTTTTTCCCCTATCGCGACAATTCGACCCCACTGAAGATTAGGAGAGGTGACTGACGACATTTATCATCTAGGGGACCTTAATTCAGTTTTACATATCCTAAATCCCCGGCTTTCGCAATGTGTAAGCTATCCCACCCGTGATGAGACAGATAATCTCGAGGCTCTTCCAAGACAAGATACTGATAGGTCTTTGAAGCTTCGCCACCTGCGAGCAGCTCCCCCGTCGCGTCTCCCGTCGCATCGAGGGACTCTCCTACTCCCAACAACGGCACGGAGTCGCCTTTCGTCGAGCGCAGCAACCCTATGGGCTCTGGTATCGCCCAGACCGTCAGCTCCCGCGATCCCAAGGCCGCAGCTCAGGCCGCCACCGACATGAAGAACGTGGTCCGCCGCAAGCTGACTGGCTACGTCGGTTTCGCCAACCTGCCCAACCAGTGGCATCGCAAGAGTGTCCGTAAAGGCTTCAACTTCAATGTCATGGTTGTCGGTAAGTTGGACAGATAATATTTCCATGGACCAAGCTCATATCCATCAGGTGAATCTGGTCTCGGAAAGTCCACCCTCGTGAACACCCTGTTCAACACCTCGCTCTACCCCCCGAAGGAGCGGACCGGTCCTAATGCCGATATCATCCCCAAGACCGTGTCTATCCAATCGACCAGCGCCGACATTGAAGAGAATGGTGTGCGTCTCCGCCTGAGTGTGATTGATACCCCCGGATTCGGTGACTTTGTCAACAACGATGACTCCTGGCGCCCGATTGTCGAGAACATCGAGCAGCGATACGACACCTACCTGGAGGCCGAGAACAAGGTCAACCGCAGTAACATTGTCGACAACCGCATCCATGCGTGTGTCTACTTCATCCAGCCTACTGGCCACTCCCTGAAGCCTCTGGATATCGAGGTGATGCGCCGCCTGCACACCAAGGTCAACTTAATCCCCGTCATTGCCAAGGCCGATACCTTGACCGACGATGAGGTTGCCCTTTTCAAGCAGCGTGTAAGTTTTTGGGATTCCCTTTCTGAATCGATTGAAGCTGTGCATACTGACTCTTCTAGATCCTTGCCGATATCGAACAACACTCCCTCCAGATCTTCGAAGGCCCCCGCTACGAGCTTGACGACGAGGAGACCATTGCTGAGAACCAGGAGATCATGTCCAAGGTTCCCTTTGCTGTTGTTGGTGCCAACTCCGAGGTCACCACTGCTGACGGTCGTCGTGTTCGTGGCCGTAGCTACCCCTGGGGTATCATCGAGGTCGACAACGAGGAGCACTGTGACTTTGTCAAGCTGCGCCAGATGCTGATCCGTACCCACATGGAAGAACTCAAGGAGCACACGAACAACTTCTTGTACGAGAACTACCGGTCCGAGAAGCTCACCCTTATGGGTGTTGCCCAGGACCCCAGCGTCTTCAAGGAGGTCAACCCTGCCGTCAAGCAGGAGGAGGAGCGTGCCCTGCACGAGCAGAAGCTGGCCAAGATGGAAGCCGAAATGAAGATGGTCTTCCAGCAGAAGGTCGCCGAAAAAGAAAGCAAGCTCAAACAGAGCGAAGACGAACTCTATGCCCGACATCGCGAGATGAAGGATCAGCTAGATCGCCAGCGTGGAGAACTCGAGGAGAAGAAGGGTCGCCTCGAGACTGGACGTCCCGTCGAAGAGAAGGGCAAGCGAAAGGGCTTCTCTCTTCGCTAATGTCCATGTCCCTGCCATTGCTTTTGCTTCTGCCTATACTTTTGGCAACTGATCCTACTCTCGTTCCATTTTTTCCCTTACACTTGTCACCCATCACACTCCCTTACCATCCCATAACGCAACTGCTTACTCTGGATGGGTCCACGCACCGAAAAAAGAATGGGGGTTTTTCTTCTTACCGATTGATTGATAATACGATCCTGCGAGGGTCAGCCTGGGACCTTTCACTTCTTGTGATGTACTTTTTGCTACGCCATATCTTGTCTTGCCGCTTTTCTGTGTGCCCTATTACCCGCTCATTTCATTATTTTCTTAGTGTTTGGGACATTTGGTTGTTCGCCGCCTGTCCGTGTGTTAGTCAATTCAGCGCTTTTAGCTTTAGATTTTGCAGTTCGAGTAAACAGTAAGCAGCAACAGTATCAAGCTAACTAATTAAGAAGGGGAAGAGAATCGGAAAATAATCTCAAGGGGTAAGATGATTCTCCTAATAAGATTCCTTCCGTTTCCTGAGTTTATATTAGTTAGGCCCAAGCAGTAAGCATACAATATATTCAACCTGAAATCTCCCAGACCTAGGTGTCAGATCTGGATGAAACAAGTACAACATTAATACCTTTTCTATCAAGTATAACATCCTTCAAAGTCCCTACCTCTGTTATGACCCAAAATATATACCTATGGACCTACAACCTATATACTACACCTCCTAGTATAGATTATACAGACATATCAACTATGTCAATTATGTCATCTAATGGACCGCAACGGAACTAATCATCTAGAACGTACTCCGTATGCCCCAGAGGCATGCGTAGATCGTGGAGTCTAATTCTATATTTAAGCGAAACAACACGGGGCTCTGGAGCATTTCTGCGACAAAACATTGGGACCCGCTTGGTGATTTAGCTCAACATTATACATAGTATTCTAAGACTATATTAATTCATATCGAGGTACCTATACAATATAGACGAGTACATTGTAGATAGGTATGGAAAGAATTGACATTAGGGAATACTTTGGTATCAAAAGGGACTTCAAGGGGATGTGACTTCACAGACAATAAGGGCAGTGCTAAATACTATGTATTTTGTATGTATACTCCGTACATGATCGTCATTACCGGCAAATTAGTCGTACGACGGAGATTCCCCTTGCCCTTATAATTGTGAACAGACTATTATACGCATAAACCTGAGGATGTATTGGACCTACAATCGAAGCCTCAATTGCAGCCGTTCCCTTTCCATCAGTACTTAATACTATTCTTGTCAACAACATCAGGACCTTTGATATCACACATCCACTGTCTATAGGGCTCCACTATTTAAACGGGAGGCTGGCAATCGCCCTCCTCATTGGTTGTTCGTGAGCTGTGAGGTGCATTAGCGTGGTGGTCCTTGTATTTTTAATTTGGGAGGTGTATGGAGGTGTAATTTGAAGTATCGCCGTTTCAATTTCGAAAACAAGCTGGGCCTTCCCCTGGGTTCCCTTCACCTTCATATTCAGTCATTCGTTGTTATTCAAATGCAGTGAGGCTTCAGTCTCGAGCATGATTCATTCATTTACATTCCTTTGCTTTTAAGCTCTTTTTTCCCATGCCACATTCCTTATCAATTTTCTTTTCTCCACGCGTTGCGGCCTGACGGCCTCCCTGAATTCCTTAGACTGCACAACCCTGTCTAGTCTTCCCACACTCGCTTCAGCCATTTCAGCCATTTCAACTGGCCAACTACACTCCTATTGCCCGTCGTCGCTCCCACTACAATGAGGATCTCTTCATTGTTTGGGCCCGCGACGGCCGGCTGGCCCTCGCTCCTCGCGCTTTTACCGACTCTCAACGCCCTGTCATTCGAGTCAGTCTCCATCCCGGAACTGGACCTCAGCTCGCTGGGACGGGTATCAATCACTGGTGATTTCGATGGCGTTTCTCTCTATCAATATAAGGAACAGACCGAATCGATTCCCGATGGCACCCAAGGTCTTCTGACCCCGCTACCGAACGGCATTCTCACGAATCTCTCGTCCACCAATGCGCATATCATGGCAATGTGCCCCTTTACCAAAAAGGATGGATCTTTCGCAGGTATATTTGTTGGGGGTAACTTCACCAGCCTAGGCGGAGTAGACTCGCCCGGTGCTGCTCTCTTCGACCCGAATACCAGCAAAGTTACTGCCTTACCGGGCCTTTCGGGCTCGGTAGCGGCCGTGACTTGCGATCAGGACACTAACCGCGTCTACATTGGAGGAAAATTCACCCACGACAACACGACGAACGCCATCGCGTGGGCGCCCGACAATGGCTGGACTAACCTCCCGTTCAATGGCCTGAATGGCCCTGTCAGCTCGATTTTGAAAGCTGACAACGGCCATATCATCTTTGGAGGATCATTCGATGCCCTGGGAAACAGCACGAGCAACAGCACCCGCAACAGCACCAGCTCCTCAAACGAAAGACAAATCCTCAACCTTCAAAATGCGACCGTCACATCCGATGCAGACTCTTCCTTGGACGGCTACTCCGATCCTCGTAACATCATTTGCTCGACAACCGGGGTGGCGGCCAAAGGCAAGACCTATCTTCTACACGACTATGCGCCGGGATTTTGGAGAGCAGACCTCGGGTTCGACTTTTTTCCGACTAAAATTCGCCTGTACAACACTCACTTAGATGGACGCGGCACCAAGGACTTTTTACTTCGAGCGCTCCCCGACACTGGCATCATGAATCTGACTTACATCGACGAGTCAGGAAAAAAGACCAGCTGTGACTCGTCCTGCCCGCTTTCCAGCAGCACGAATGAAACCTACCGTGAATTTACCATGGTCAATCCCGTTGGTATGCGAGGATTCCAGATTGAGGTGCTTAGTTGGTACGGACAAGGAGCTGGCCTGAACGGCATTGAGGTCTTCCAGGACCAAATCCTCACATACGCTGTCGATCAATACAATGAACCAACATGCTCAGGCATTGAATACCCCGCCAAGTCAACGCGCACCGGCTCTTGGACTGTCGAGTCTGGGTATGTGTCTGCGAAGGTGACCAACTCTAATGCCTCGACCACATCCGTCACATTTGAGCCTGACGTGAAAGAGTCTGGCAACTATACCATCAAGTTATATACTCCCGGCTGTACCCAGGACAACTCTTGCAGCTCACGGGGTATTGTTAATGTCACGGCTACACTCACGAATGGATCTGACTCTAGCCAGCCCGATCCGTCATATTTTTACCAGACCAACCTACACGACAAGTATGACACATTCTACACTGGGTATGTTGATGCCAACAGTGACTCCTTCCGACCAAAGGTTACGGTGCGGGCCAAGGACGGCCAAGGAGATATCACCATTGTGGCGTCTCGTGTCCGTTTTGAACTACTTTCCAGCAATAAGAGCACCAAAAGCACCAAGAGCACTAAGAGCACCGGGGGTCTCAATGGATTATACGATTATGATCCGACCGCAAACACTACTGAAACCTCAAATCTTACAAAGTCCGACATTAACAAGGCGGGGACTTCACTCGACCATAACGCAACCATCTCAATAATGAAGGAGCATGATGATGTGATCTATGTCGCTGGCAACTTCTCTGACAGCAAGATCCACCACGTCATGTCGATCACGGATGGCAATGTCACAGCAATGCCCGGCTCTGGTTTGAACTCTCCAGTACTAGCAATGGCCACCCTTGACAATTTCCTGTATGTTGGAGGTCGCTTCACCGATACCTCAGACGCAGGTTCAACGGGCCTTCAACACGTTGCGGCATACTCATACTCTTCCAAAGAATGGTCGGCCCTGGGAGCAGGGCTGAACGGTCCTGTCAATTCGATTTGGCCTGTTGGATTGAATGCATCAACTGCTATCAATGAAACCATCCTTGCTGTGAGCGGCGACTTTGACCAGATCATTGCTTTCAACGGGAATCCCGCGGTATCTGTTGCTGGGTTCGCCATATGGGTCCCCTCCCGTAAGGACTGGCTCCAGAACCTTAATGTTACACAGATGCAGTTCGGTGGTCAACTCTCAAGTGTCGCTTCGCACAACAATACGCTCATCTTGGCAGGTGACCTTGCCACCAATGGTATCATCGCTGGTGGTGCGGTGTCACTGCTAAATCCCGATGATTTGCAACTGATTCCTCTGTCGATGAAGATCAACCACAAAAATTCAAGCACTGGTCTGATCACCGGTGCTTATGATACCAGTTCGAACCGCAATCTCACGATCTACGGTGGACATTTCGCTGCCGCTGGCAGCAATGGATCAACCATTGAAAATATTGCCATCCTCAACGGCACCGATGAGAAGATATCAGGTCTGCCGCAAGGCGTCGACAGTAACTCAACGTTTATTTCAATGCTTGTGTACAACGACACCCTCTATGCAGGTGGAAATGTTACCGGAAACATCGGTCGCACCAGTCTGCGGGGTCTTGTGGTTTACGACCTGGAAAAGAAAGAGTTCGCACAGACTCAGTCGGCTTTCTCGGGCTGGAATGTCTCAGTCAATGCTGTCGTCAATCGACCGGATTCATCTGATATCTACTTTGGAGGAAACTTCGAAGGTGTAGGGCAGTTCCCATGTAATTCTGTCTGCTATGTGGATGCCACCACCGGGGAATGGGATCAACCTGGCTCGTCCCTAAGTGGTACCGTGATTGACCTTCACTGGGCCAGTCAAAAGACGCTGATGGCTGTGGGCGACCTTCAGGTCGGTGGTAACAAGACCTCAATTGCTCTCTACAACGCGAAATCCGAAACATGGTCCTCTTTCTCTGGAGCATCCGAGTCAGATTTGCCCGGAAATGTCACTACGTTTACTGCTGCTAGCTCGGATTTGTCAAAGTTCTGGATCGGAGGTACTGCGGCCAATGGCTCGGCCTTCTTCTTGAGCTACGATGGTTCCGAGTTCCTATCCCCCGGTAACCTTTTCTCCGAGGGCACGGTCATTCGTGGTTTAGAGATTCTCCCTGTCAGCCACGACCATTCTGCGGCTGCTCTGTTGAATAACGATCAGACTTTGTTGATCATGGGTTCGCTTGTGATCCCGAACTTCGGACATGCATCAGCGGCGCTCTACAACGGAACCGATATCACTCCATTTATCCTTTCCCAGCAAGCCGATGGCCGACCGGGCAGCATGTCGAAGTTCTTATCCGAGAACAAAAACCCTTACACTACCACCAGTGAGTTTACTTCACCTTTCGTTCTTGACAGGAATCAATACTGACTTTGACAACCTAGCAAAACATCACTCCAATGGCATCGCAGTCTTGGTGGCTTTCTGCTGTGCTCTGGGCTGCGTCTTCCTCATCGTCCTAGCCGGTGTCATCCTTAATAAGGTACAGCGCCGCCGCCAGGGCTACGCAGCTGCCCCTCAAACCTTCGGCACCGATCGACCATCCGACATGCAGCGCCTGCCGCCTGAGTATCTCTTCAACTCGCTGCACCATCCCAACCCTGGTGCCCCGGTCCTTTAATGCCCCTTTTCGCTCCAAAACCCTTGACCTTCGAGGCCGGCGTTTCGTTTCGTTTTTGTTCTGTTCTTTTCTGTTCTGTTTCGTTTTATCTTAAGCAACGTTGCTATACCCAACCGTCTTTAATGTCTGTGTTTGTTTTCGCGCCGGCCATATCGCGATTTATCTTCAAATTCTTTTATTTCCTGGCTCCTGGCACATGTGGCCGATACAGTTTATCAAAGCTCCTTTGTGAATATGTCTGTGTTGATGTACCATATGCTTTCCAGCGATTTATATCTTACTTGAGTGGATGTGTGTTGCTAGGGAGGTTGGAGATGTGTAGATAGCCACGCTTCGTTCGTGGACACGACAATTAATACAATACCCCTTTGCTGATGGAAATATTCTCAATAGACATGTAACTATAGTTATTACTATGCTATGCTAGGTAGCAATGTCTAATTATATCCAAACGCATAGGCCCATTCTCCTTTAATCTACACCTGAGCACCTGACTTCGGGAGCACAGCCTGTCTGAGTCAGGTTATTTGTGTGGGGGCCCCAGGTCACCTGTTCCCTCCCCGCAGGTTGATCTCCAGGTTTTCGTTTCCCCAACCCGATCACTTTCCTTATTTCGCATGTTGCTACCGCATCGCCTTCATGTAATTTCGGTATGCGATCACGAACCGGCTGGTAAGTGCATATCCAACTAGCGTGATACATGGCTAACACAACCTAGCTTAACGTGTCGAACACGAAAGCTTAAATGTAGGAATCGGTTCTCCCGGCCGTTTCATTGTCTGGTGACTAAATTAATTTATAGGTGATGAAGAAAAGCCCGAATGTTCACAATGTCGCAAAGGTGGCCGAGAATGTCGCCCGAGCGAAGGAGTGGTTTTCCGCCATCAACAGAACGCCTCGATGAACCGGAACTCCCCAGACGGTCGGGGTAGTCTCAACGGGTTCTATTCATATAAGAACACCTTTGACAAGGATAGCGTTTGGCTGGATGTTCCCAAACATGGTACGGCACCAATGGGACATGTTGTTTGGGTCTGGACCCTTTTTGGACGGTAGCTCATATCCTCTGCAGTGATCTTTGTCGACAACTCCGATCCATACGCCGACGACCTCGAGGCCTCATTACTAGACCCGGGCAGCGCAGCGCAAACAAACTCTCCGAATCACAGATGGGACAGTGGAGGCCCTCGAGCGAGCGATGCCGAGACACAGGGGTTGGAAGCCTTGTCGGCGGTCGCAACACACGATCGCTTCCCTTATTCTCCCTTGGACCATTCGATCTCTGATAGTACCTCCTATACCTCCCCAAACCCGCAGCGGAGTGCTGCTATCACCCCGGCTTCACCCTCAATATCGCTGTCGTCCACCAGCAATAATACCAACATTAATTTCCTCCTCAACCCCGCGCATTCGATGTCCCCATCCATCGACCCAAGTATGCAGCTATCTGACCGGAACAATGCGCTTCCATCAAGACCGGCAGCTTCACAAAGAAGCATGAGCCACATGAGTCACATGAGCCTTGTCAATCACACAACAGACGACAATTCAGAGACCGATTTCGAGACCGCTTTCCTTCTGCGGCATTACTCAGAAGGACCGGGACTGTGGTATGTTTCCTTCCAGCTGTTAACGTGGAACCATCAGTAATAATGATATCTGCAGGATGGATCTCTTTGACCTAGGGACATATTTCGCTTCATACGTCCCAGTGCGAGCACGAACCAACCCGCTCTTGAAATTCGCCGCCTGTGCATATTCCGCCAAACAGCTAGGCCGAGTCAAAGGTGCCAAGGCATCGGTGGGCGGAGTCTGCACCCAGCAGTCTGCCATGGAACTGTGGCCTGACAAAGACCCCGACTTCGCATGGTATGGGGCCAAATATTATGAAAAGGCCATCCAGCTGCTAATGAAAGAGCTGCAACCTGACGCAGAGGGTCCACCTCCTTTGAGCACCCCTGAAGCTTTCGGTCAATGGCAGGCTGCCGAGATTTCTGTAGATTCGGATAACCCACGTAAGCGCCGCAGACGGGTTTCTGATAGTCGGCTCTCGCATGGGGTTCATTCCGACGAGGTGCTCGCGGCGACGGCCATTCTGTCTGTTTATGAGTTCCTTGATGCCGCAGGCCCCGCGTGGAATCGTCATTTGAGTGGCGTGAAGTCGTTGCTTGATGTCGCTGAAGTGGGCATGATGCCTCTTGAGCAGCGTCCGTCTCCGGGAGAGAGCTCATATCAGACGCAGACGCCTAAGAAGTCGGGTCTTTCCAAGGCTCGGAAGGCAACGTTTTGGAATTTTGCGCGGCAGGACTACTTAGCTGCCTGTGAGTGTTGTCTGTCGCTTCCCCTCCCCTCCAAACTTCGCTGACAGAAAAAAAGTCATCAACGAATGCCATACACGGCTCAACACAGACGATACAGTCCTCTGGACCGAAGCAGGGTTACTTCTCGACAACGCGGGCTTTGTACGCGCTAGCAACACAAGCGCAGCAGGATATCCGGAAGGTGAAGATGTAATGAAAGAAGACCTAATCAGCAACGGACTAGTGTGGATATTGTCCAAGATAGTCAATTTCATAAGCTCTGGCGACAACCTGCACATAAGCGGATCCGTGCCAGGACCCTTGGGCGTCTCGCAACAAGCCCTCCTGGAGCGGTGGTACAGGCTTGAATCCGAGCTCGACGCATGGTACACCGGGATCCCAGAGACATTCCGGCCCTGCGCCCGAATCGACGCATCCAATCTCACACACCACCGGCCGCCCGACGAACACGAAGACATCTCCACCCTCCAGGAAATCTGGTACAGCCTTCCCATGTGCGCCTCCGCCATGCAGCATTACCACATGGCGCGCATCCTGCTTCTCATCAACAAGCCGCACGAGTCCACTAGCCGGCGCAGCACCATAACGCTCCGTCTCCAGTCATACCGCTCCATCGAGTCTGAGATCGCATTCCACAGCCGTGAGATCGTGGGTATCGGTCTTTCTCGCCCGGATGGAAGCGTCAGGATCAACTCGCTGCAGCCGCTATTTGTTAGCGGGCAGTGCCTGACGGACCCGCGTGAGCGCCGCACTACCGTGCGTCTGCTGAGGAGTATTGAGTCGGATTTAGGCTGGGCGACTGAGTACCGTGTGCAGCAATTGCTGAAGGAGTGGGGGTGGGATGAGAATTCGACCCGCTCGCCTGGTTCTTCTTGTTCTTGAGACTTGAAGACAAGACAAGGTCTCCAGCCTAGGAACTAGACATAGTGTCCGGGTTGAGGTTTGGCGCGGGCTCAACCACGTTCATTGTATAGTACCCAGTCCCTCTTGGTCGGTCCTGTATTGGAGCCGATGAAATCATCCGAGGGTACTGGAGTGAAGTGGTATTTGCAGATATCTCGGCTTATGTCGAATTGTGGCCATGCATTCCAATCTTGTCACCACCACATGCCATGCTGAGAATGACTTGTCAAACGACAAGCGACTGGGAATTCCCGTCACTCATTAGGGGATGTGCCCTCTCACGTGGTGTGACGAATGCCAGAGACACGAGTAATGATTGTTTATGATACCCGTGTACCTCTGATAGTAATCATAGTATAGTACAGGTGACTCTCACACTGCAACATAGGCAGTATAGCCATAGAGTGGACAGATGGATTCTAAAGAAAAAGAAAACCAGAAATCTCGTTAGATTTAGGGTCGAGAGCCTTTCCTTGTTTGATTCTGCAAGTTCGGTTTAGTTGCCTTTGGAAGACACTAAACGTGGTATACATATTATCATAACCCAGGCGTGTTCATTTGAGATTATATACTCTATATTACTTACATGATTGTTCTCTAGCTCTAACTAATCTAATTACGAAAAAAAAATAAACACCCATTAACTTACTATTTAACTAACACCCCAATCTCCAACACCAACCATAAACCCATCCAGCCCTAATCCAAACCCCAACCTCAACGCTGCAGGTTTTCCGTTGACCATGGTGTCACCGAATCCACTTCCCCCCACCGATTTACCCTTCTTAGGTTCCGGGGGGGCAACTTATCCGAACCAGGACACCCCAGATCCGACATTATTCAGGATCTACTCCGTACGTGCAGGAATATATCGGGTTACTAGTATCGGCTATTCCGTGCATAATTCATGATGGGTAGGATTCTGGGGATTGGGTCGGAATACAACATACAACATACAACTTAGAGACTAGAGAATGGAAAGTTGAGCGTTGCAGAATGGGGTAGAAAGAGGGATTTATAGCGGATTTATGTTGGTCGCTGTGGGCGAGTTGGAGATTTAGTTGAGACATTTTGTAAGCTTGAATATTACGAGCTTACTTGGACTTGGGTTTGCGATGAGCCCAGACTTCATCTATTATTTAGAATTTCAAGCGCTGCGGTAGCAATGTAAGCGCAAATTCAACAGAGATAATATTGAGCTTGTACGTTTGATTTTTGTCAAGTGGTTGGGTGGTTTACTTCTACTTATTTAGGTTGGGAAGAATACGAAGTGGGGGATCAGGAGATATTTCTTCTTGCTTTGGTTAATGGTAGCAATCACCTAGCCTCTTTGTGTTTCGGCAAAATGAGGATAATCTCTAGCGTGAAGACTATTCTGACCTGTGGGTTCTTTTTCTGTCTTTTCTTCGGTTTCACCACGAGCCAGTGGGTCGATGCGGACGGGAAAAGCAGCGAGTCAGATTGAGCTTCGAGCTAGGACTCAACTACGCCAAAGGCCGAAATCACGTATACAAAAGAACCCTGGTAAAATCAAGGTGGCAAGAACTACAGGTGGAGTTCTGTGATTTGATGTGGGCTATGCTTGAGCGAGGTGTTGTATATCACTCATAAGTGGATGATCGTGAGAAAGTGCGAAAGACCAAGATGCAAAGGTGTTTTCTGACTGGCTTAACGGTCGGGGGTCCGTGAATAGCGCTAAGTGTGATGATGACAAGAGGACGCCGGTGTGATTTGAGCTAGAACCAGCTACTTTGTCCGTGCATATCATGAACGTATTTCCGCAGGATGTAGATCATAGACTATATATGTCTAGTGAAAGTGAATAAGCCTGCTAATCTATCCTTAAATAAGATCTACAGGAGGGTCGGGATATGAACGGGTTAGCGTGGGATTCGAGAGTTTTACAAAGTACTCCGATGCATTTCAATCACCTCGTTAAGCACTTCATTGTGATAGATCGGCTGGCTGCATGCAGAGTACAGAAATATCATGCGGTGGTCTCTTAGCATCCGATTGGACTCATGTACGACGAATGCCGGTAGTGATCACAGCGGGAGATGCGTTAGTCGTAATGATTGGGTGGATTAACGCGTGGGCTCTCGGGGAGGAATGCTATTGTTGGTGAGACTGACCACTCTGGCCCCTCTGACCCCTCGGTGCTACATACAATAGACAGACTTTGATGTCCAGGGGTAAAAAGGCAATCGAATCAGGATGAAGAGGGGAGTGGTTGGACATGGGTTCTTGAGCTCAGCTCCGCAATTTGCATAGTTGTGTATTTCATTCAACATTAGCATTGTCTTATTGTTTTATTATATTAGTTATTATATATGGGATAACGTAATTCACAAGCGAGCCGGCCACACAAGCGAGCCGGCCACCCCACCTAACCCATTGAATTTAAATACATTTATCTCAACCATAACGCCATTAAATTAATTAAACTAAAAAGAATCATTTATCTGGACACCTATTGATCTTATGCCCTGTCTTATTACACCCACTACACCTTGGTGCAGCTCGTGGTCGTGGTTCCAACCCTAATTGAGTGCTTCCGTCCGGGGGGTGTAGGGGTGTTTCTGATGCTTCCACCAACCCAGCAATCATTTCAGAAGCTTCTTGGACCGAAAGACCCTCTGCGGCGGGTATCTGCCGTTTAGATCGGGTCCGCTTTTGCTTCTTCTTCTCATTTTCAGCGCGTAATTCCTTATTTTCCTTTGCTAGTATAACAGCGCTATGCATTGCAAGCTGGCAACCTTTGATAAGTTGATTTAATGCACGTTTGGAAGGAGTTGTTGGGCTTCGAGATTGGGTACGAAGTAAAGCTTTGATTGACGAAGCCTGTCGACGTAGATCTTTGCCATTAAACGGGGTTTTTGGGGTAAAATTCCGGCTTGAATCGCTACCCCGGCTGGGAGGGGGGGTTGGTGTTCGAAGACAAATATTCAGCTTTGAAAGGACCCGATCGGGTAAAAAGGGTACTAGACCGGCTGCCCCAAAGCTATTTTTAATCGTCTCAGATTTAAAAGCTTCAATTCGTGCGGAGGGGTATGCTTCAAGGAAGTCATGTTTATCAATATGGTTGGTCCCGGTCCGCATTTTCATCTCAACTAACCGGCCGTACGACCGTTTTACCACCGCAAAACAACCGATATTAAGTGGTTGTAAAAGGTGAGATGAATGCGGTGGTATACAAATTGGTATAATATCGTTTTCCTCGCAAATTTGATCGAATTGAGGGGTTAAATGGCTTCCGTGGCCGTCGAGTACCAAAAGTCGATACCTTCCTACTATACGCGATAAAGTTGATGGTATAAAGAGTTTCTGAAGCCAGCGAAGCCCAATCTTATCAGACGTCCAACCGTTTGGACTAACTTCAAAGCGCCAGTCGCTAGGAAGACCTTCAAACCAAGATTCAAGGAAGACCTTGCCTTTGAAAATAATACACGGAGGGAGGGCCCACCCCGCCGCGTTTATACATTCAATTGCAGTCACCCACTCACGATTTCCGGGTTGTAAAAGTGATCTCCGACCGTAGTATTCACTTCTTATTATAACCCTTGCCGTTGCGGTCAATCCCATTGCAAATCCGGTCTCATCAAAGTTATAAATATCGTCTGGGTCAATTCCAAATTGAATGATGGTTTTTTGAACAAGATTAAACCATTCTCCAATGATTTTTGGGTCTTCACATTTCGCGCGCTCATAATTATAACGTCTCGAGAATCGGGATGAGAGGGTAGGGTACCGGTTAACAAAGTTTGTAACCCAATTGATACCGACTGAGGGGACCGGGGTGGTTCCGCGTTGTTCGAGGAGAATATTTGCCATTTCTCGAACAGAAGAGGGCCGGGGGGCTGCACCACGAGAATCTAGAGAGATTATCCACTTCTCAAGAGATTCCTCTTCATTTATAGTCAATTTATGGCTATTGGCGCGTGAAATCGCGCGGTGTTGGTGGCCGCGTAGTCGATCTTGAAGTGTTGAGCGGGGGATTTCAAAACGGCGCGCTATCTCACGAACTGAAGATATTTCTTGGTTCTTAAAAGCCTGAATAGCTAATAAGATCCTACCCTCTTGCTCTATTAATTTTGAAGACTTCCGGGATCGAATTGGTGGCATGGTGGGTGGTTGAATTAACTAAGTGCTAAACCATGGACGCGTTTTGGGTGGGGTGGCCGGCTCGCTTGTGTGGCCGGCTCGCTTGTGAATTACGTTATTATAGCTCACTAAGACTAAATAATAAGACGATATCCCGACTGTTCTTGTATTGTCACTGTATTTTATCCCCGCTAAACCACCGTGCCAAGACCGAATTGAGTTTGCGAGGACCGTGGGTCGACTTGGTCCTAGTGCCTCGTGTGTGTGGGGCGAAGAACGGGCCATCCAGACTATCACGTTGTATCAGGACGTACATACAAATTACACTGCATACCCCCATTTGCTCCTCACTTCTCTACTCCCCCTTCGCTCTCGGATACTTATATATACGATTCCTTGGCGATATCGCGCTGGCGCGTTAGGAACTCGCGCAGGACATGCATATCTCGCCATCATGGTGCACGCCCTAAATGGACATTGCCCGGTCCCGTTCTTGCAGGAGACGCTATTCCCCACCGTCGGGGGATTTATCGATGGCCGCTACTGCAAGCAGGTGACTCTCGGCAACAGCACTTATTCCTGTTGCTTGCCATGTCCTCTCGCCGAGTGGAGATATGACACTGGTATGTTTCTGTGATTTCTAGCCCATTAATAAAATCTAACGTTGTATAGACTTGGCCGATAAAATCAGCGTCACGAGTTGGATCAGCGTCGCCATTCTCCCTCTTTGTATCTTTTTGCTGGTTTCCTACGCTGTACTACCTGCCAAATGGACGCACCGCCATTATTTGAGCATTTGCTTTACGCTGGGCATTTGTTGCATGGAGGTAAGTTGAACACCGGCATGCGCTAGGAATACCTTTATGGCTAACTCTGATCCAGCTCGCCTTCATCATTCCCCTCGGCGCCAAACCAGACCAATGCTATAATTCAATCACCCCCAATGACATGCGCTCCGATCTTTCCTGCGCCTTTTCTGGATCCTTGTTGTTATTCGGAGGCTGGGTAGTGGTAATATGGAGTTTCATCCGTACACTCGCCTTCCACCTGCAAGTATGCTGGGAAAGAGTCCTAGGACTGAAGTTCATGTGGACAGCCCTTGTCTGTGGATTCGGAATCCCAGCAATTGGACTGACAATTATGCTGGTCCTAACTGGAGTATCGTTCCGATTCGGCAATGTCTGCCACATCAACGTAACCAACGGACTCTACGACTACTGGATCCCAATCATGATCATCGCCGCCGCATCTCTCTTCCTCCAACTATCAACAATGATCTACTGCACTCATATCTACCTCCGCTCTCTTTTCGACAAATCGGCCTCAACATCAGGCAGCTCCGGCGCAAACCTTCCCTCCTACTCAGCCAGCATCGGCACCGTAACAGCCCGACAGGCCTACCGGCGCGTACGCCGCGTCCTTAAACTCCAATGGCGCGGCATCGCCCTCACATCAATCATCCTCGGCAACGTCATCTTCTTCGCAGTCATCTTCATCGGCCTCGATAATGCCGTCGCGCCAACGGCAGAAAACGTCAAAATCGCAGGCCCCTGGCTAATGTGCCTCGCCGAAACCGGCGATAAGAATCTCTGCGGCGAATACGCCGCAGCCATCGGCCCCAACGAAGCAACCTTACTAGCAGTCGTGTTCCTGCTCTCCCTCGTCGGCTTCTGGAACTTCATCCTCTTCGCCCGTCCATCCATGTTCGCCGGCTGGCTGGATCTTTTCCACCGCAAAGTGACACACCGCAACGAGTTTGTCTCTGTGGATGCAAACACCCGCTTCGCTGACAACAAGGGCTTCGAAATGCTGACTACATCTGTGAAATCACCCGATACGTTCATGCGATCGCCAAGCCCGTCCCGAATAGGCAAGCCTGACCGCAGCGCTTTCATGCGCTCACCGAGCCCTACACAAATGGGAAGTAACGCTCCCATGCCCTCGAGCCCTACACAGACTGGATACGGCCGCAGTCCGATCAGCCCCAGCCCCAGCTCCGAGCGCAATATGCATGTCGCTCGCGAGGCCCGCTATGTGCGTCCCTCGTTGAGCTTTTCCGGGCCTAGGCCACCTAGTGCGCGCGAGTGGGATCCCAAGTCTTCGTTTGCGCCTGCGTACGGGCAAGACCGAGTGTAATGTTACTGAAATACGTTTTTATGATTTGCCTTCTTTTTCTTAATGTTCAAAAATATTTACTGTTTATTCTATGCTGTTCTGATTTTGGGCCTCCTGTTTCTAAAAGATAAGAGGTCTAAAGAATGGGGATATTCTAGGCTTTTCTTGAGACACGGTGTTACAGGAGATGCCACTATTTTGAGTCAGGCGTTAGGTGATTTTAGCAATTTCCACGTGTATCAATGATGTATGATGTCTAATTCTATTTGATTCCACCTGGTATACTATATAATCACGTTCTAATCTATTTTGACTCCACATTTAACACTTTGACATTGACATACCGAAGAACCAGTCTAGTCCCTTATTGCAATCTTAATCTGAATCTCAATCCCAACAACGGCAATTCAATCGCGTCCCCACATCGGTATGCCGCGAGCGTGATCCTGAATCCATGATCCAATTCCACTAAACCAGCAGTTCTGGAACTGCCCGGCCGTGTGCGGAGAACATAAAACACTATCCACGCTAAAATAGCGCATGCGCGCAAAAAAAAAAAACGGTCCCACACAGACTACTACGGCGTACTCCGTGCTCCGTGCCTAGTAGTGTAACACCACCAATACCAAGGACGACACCAATCGAGACACCAGGGCCCCTGTCTAGCTCACGGCGGGATTACGACGGACTCCACCAACTGTCCGGCATGCAAGAACGGCGGTTTTGCCACGTTGGGGCTAGTGTTTCGGATTGGTTTCAGCCTGTAATGCGTGTATTGGTGCTAGTATTGCTTTTACTACCAGGTAAATGTGATTGCAAGGGTTTATGTATTGTATTATTATAGTTAGTTACTAGCTAAACACTATTAGCACACTGCATATGGTCACATCCCGGCTAGACTTTGAGAGAACCCTTCTAGACTATTGCTAGATGCGTCGGGTGGAAACTCCTCGCGTGCGCTACTGCCAAGGGTCCGGGATTACATGTGGGATTCTTTTATTCCAACTTTGGAAGGTTGTAGCTATATAGCGGATTTCCTCTGCCACTTCTTGACGTCCCCTTTCCGTTTTAGTGCTCAGACCTTGCCGCTTTTTGCTCAGAGTACAACTGAGCACGCCCCTCAGCGGTCTGATCCGCTCACTGAGCATTACATAAGCACTCAGATCTGCTCACGTGCAGCCCTCCACTTTTAGATGGCACCCATCGTCCCATCAATGTGATCTTCAATCCTGGTAAAATGACTGCGATTATTTGCATAATGGAGCTTGCCATTTGGACACCCAATAAGCACTACCATGAATCCATACGGGATCACCTCAAGCAGAATCATAGTACTATTATTGATTGCATTCTCCCCTCTTCAGGAGTCCGGGTCGCTGAAGCTGGGTCATTTAAGTCTTTTTCAGGTAGAGCCGGTGGACTTTCGATGATCATTGAGAACTGACGTATATTCAAGGGGACGTGATCATGTCTTGCAAGTGCAAGTGGAAATGTATGTATAGTATACGTACATATCAAAACCCACCCTCTGCGTCCAGTCACCACATCGAGGCCGTTTTCCTCTGCCGTTGAAGTTTGAGTTTGAGTGAAGAATTTTCCTCCGCAATTTTCTTAAGTACAGCAATGGTTATATCTGGTATATCTGTCATAATCACCATACTTTCATCGTAGGCGAGGAACTCCTGCGCATCGCATGAGATTGACTTAATTATGGCGTCTCGAATCTCGCTCTCAAGAGGCGGAATGGTGATCCAGATTTGTTGCACAATCAATGGAAATCCCCTTGCGTTTTCGGAGATCCAATTCATAATTCGAGATCTCGCAAGGATTTTCAGTCGCGAAATGTCAAACTTGTCGGCCGCCATGAACACTCCGAGGTTGTTCCACATAGCTGCATGAGGTTCCATACCATTACCAGAAGCGCACTTCCGATTTTGAAAGTACGAGCCATCTGTGTCTTCGTAGTCTTGGTGGTATAGAAAAGAGACAACCCGTTGAATAGTTGCAAGCTCATCATCTGGCAGATCAACATGTGATAGCGAGGCTTCCTTGTAAAAAAGTTAGCCATATGCAGCGATCACGGCAAAGGCTTGTCGCATTACTCTGAATCCTCCTTTGACTGCAGCGTCAAAAAAGGGTGATTGTGAACAGACTATCGCACGATGTACCTGGAACTTCTGTCCTTCGCATGATATCGCCAGGTCTGAGTATCTACCTGAATCCAGAAGGCTTTGCAAGATTGGTTGGAGATCTGGAAACCCCATGATTGATGTAGCTACATGTAGGCCAAGTTCAACTCGATTCTAGCATATATCAATTCTACTCTATCATTGAAGACTATGACGTCAACACTAAGATCGTTTGCTGAGGAGTGGGTCATCCTGAAATTAGCTTGAACACACTTGATCATCTCTAGACCCACCGCTAAGATCTATCATTGAGGGTCGGTCTCAGAAAGTCAGAAGGACGCACCATGTATAGCTCTGTATCTTACTACATCGTGTTAGGTCCCCGCCGTTAAGCTCTATTTGTTGAATGTACCGTACGAGCGGCACATTACGATATCTCTCAAGTTAATGCGTGTTTACGGCGGCTTTTAACTGGACCAAGGGGTGCACAGACACCGGCGGTCTGATAGAGCAATTTTGTTCAGTTATAAAGGTGCAACTGATTGGGTTGTGCGTCTTACTTTCTACATCTGCCTTTTCAGAAAGTAATTTGCCTTTCTCCCTCGAATCACTACGATGTGAGTGATTATTTGCTGTTGGCATATCTCAACAATTGACACTGCATAGTGCGTTCCAGAATGCCGACTCTGCCAATCGTTAACATGGAACTGCAGTTTCTGGAGATGAGAGAGACCTACGAAGACTCAGGTTGTGGGTTCCAGTTCGCAGGGACTCTCGTTGTGTATCAGGTGCAGGGCCTTTTGTACCATGCAAAGCTGAAAGGCCGTTGCTCTTCTCCTTCGATTGTCAATGCAGAGGACCTTATGAACGTTAAGCAAATTCCTGCGTCGGCCTACGATCCCAAATTTCCTGTCGGATTTACGCTATCGCCTGGATCCCTACCTAACGGTTGTCATGTCAAAAAACCCCGATTGATCAATTGCGATCGGATTAGTGAAGGACCTCAACCGAATTTGATTGCAGAAGATATCCTCAGGGAAGCAAGGATTTACGAACTCTTAACGTTACACCCACATCCTAACATTGCTACCTACCTCGGTTGCCAAGTTTCTGACGGCACAATCACGGGACTTTGCCTTAAGAAATACCCTCATACCTTGATGAAAGAAGTCAACCCGGGCGCTCTCAAAAAGAGAGCACTTAGAAACATGCGGAAAGCGAAGGGGGAATACAGTCATTTCCTCACGGGCATTGAAAATGGCATCCAGCACCTTCACTCGTTGGGGTTGGTTCATAACGATATCAATCCAAGCAACATAATGATCGATGAGGATAGAGCAATCATCATCGATTTTGGATCTTGCCGGAAGCTAGGAGAGAGCTTAGAAAATGTGGGCCGTACCTACGAATGGTGCGATGACAAAGTTAGAAGTCTCTTCTAGAGAATGACTTGAACGCCTTGGAAGAAATTCGCATTTGGCTTGGCGTTAGTTCACAAGAATTCCAATTTGATGAATAGTTCAATTCATTTGAAAATCTGAGCCATTCTTCGGATCCAATGGGGAGGTCTCGATCAATATGCCTGGCTGTTGAGAAGGCTGCTAAAGATACTATCTTTCCGGCCAGCAAGTTTCCCGGGCCCATCCATCTCTATCACCTTTCCCTGATCTAGAACGAGGACTAAATCATGATCCATGAGCGTATGGACACGGTGTGCCACAGTAAGAGCCGTGCATGAATGAAACGGCTCGCGTCGCAGAAGAGCCTGAACATGAGCGTCCGTTTCCATGTCGACACCGCTAGTTGCTTCATCGATCAGCAGGATCTTGGCGTTGCTCGCCTGTATCTTCAGTATTGCACGGGCAAGCTCCAGCAATTGTTGTTGGCCTCTCGATAGAGATAAAGTATTAGTTATCTCAGCTTCCAGTCCACCCCTGTCATCCAACACGCCCTTCCAAATCCCTACTCGGTCTAGGGCCGCGATGATATCTGCATCGGGGAACTTTCCTGTGGGGTCTGTGTTCAACCTGACTGTACAGCCCACCATAATGAATGGATCCTGAGGAATGGTGACGATCCTTTCTCTGACCCTTTCAGGTTGGAGGGTGGCAAGATCGACGTTGTCGATCAGAATTGATCCATTCGTGATAGTGAGTATGCCCAAAATTGCGGATAATAGGGAGCTCTTTCCACTAATTTCTCATGACGGAAGGGTCAGGCCAGATCCTCAATATTTCACCGGGTAGATTACGCAGAGCTGAAACTTACCTCCCAGTGCGCCCACAAATGCCGATCTTCTGACCAGGAGAGGCCACGAGAGAGACACTCTTCAAAGCAATAGCTTTCGGACTGTTCAATCTCAGTTTAGTGACCTGGGTGAAATATACTCATTTGTCTGTGAAGTTCTTACTGGTACTGTGCACTAACTTCCGAGACGTGAATTGCGCCCCGATCTGGCCAATCGCTAGGTGGTTCCGTTTTTCCGCTTGTGACTTCGCTGGGAACCTCCATTTCAAAATCTTTGACTCGTGAGATTGAACCAAGTGATATCTCAAGTTGTGTCCAGCCCGATATTAAAGATGAGAGACTTCCGTTGAATGCTAACGATGTTTAGTCAGACAGGCAAAGACGATAGGTTGAAGCATTTGATAGAAGAATGAAGAGAATGGAGAACAGTTTCATGGTCAGACATGACTTACAGAGGATGCTGTTTAGTGAAACTCCGAGTAATCCCACACTAGTCTTCTGCCTCAAAAATACCGCTAGGCTAACGACAATAATCGCTTCTGCGGCAACAATCAGATCCAGGACCAGATTCAGCCAACGTTGGATGCAATTTAGCATATAGTATGTGCGTTGGGTGACATCTAATAGTCTTGAGTTCTTGTTCTGGAAGTCTTCTTCCCACCCAAATGCTTGAATTGTAGCAAGGCCCTCGACTGTATCAAGGAAATGAGAGTACAGTGGGCTTCTGCTTTCGAGGTCCAGAAGTCGGAGCTGTCGTGATGTTTTTAGATAAACATGCTGTAGCAAAAAGACAGCAAATATCAAGAAAGGGAGGGAGATAGCCATGTATTCCGATCCCGTAGCAATGAGTGCAGCGCTAGCAATTGATGAGAAAAGATCTTTAATCATAAGCATGCATATCTCTAAAGTTAAGGGTGCCCATGATAATCGATAGATCTCATAGCGAGATCAAGGTAGGGATGGGACAAGTCGTGAAAGATTTAGGGAAGCGAGACTTACTTGAAACTGTGATCAACACGCCGATAGGCAATTGACTTTCTACGAGGGTCATGTCTTGGCTGAATCGGTTCAATATTGACCCATTGTCAACTGTTGAAAGGAACTGCGGTGTCGCCCTTCAGAGATCATCAGCAGACGAAGACCCGAAAAGATAGAATCATCATACCTAATAACGGTCCTCAGCACGACATAGTGAAGGCGGCGTGCCGTTGCGGGCGAAATTAGGATCAAGATAGCCCTTTTAAGTCGTAAGCAATTGGTTGTTTATGACTGGGCTCTATGGAGACCTCTTAACATACCAAACGTAGCCACCATTCCCGATAGTGTTGCAAATCGCGAGGAGGAAGTATATTGTGACATATAACGGCTTTTGACCTCCGCCGCGGTTAGCCCACCGCTCAAGCCAGATCTCTATGTGCAAAGCAATGTCAGTGGACATGCAAGGAGTAGTGGAATATGAAGTTTCACGTACTGCCGTATGTACTGGCGAAGACATTGATAGTCACGAAGGAAACAAAAATCATGGCCTTCGTCCAGCCGATGTAGCGCAAATAGTACCTATAAACAGCCGAGTCTCCCGTTGCTCTTCTGAGATTATTAATATCATTCGCTTTAGAGATCTCGGCTGCTTTCTCTTTCATCATCGACTTTGTACTTTCCTCCAAGCCCTCATCTGCTGCAGCATCGGGTAGCAGAGCTTAGTAGACGGTTCTCTCGCGGGCCTCTTCCCGGCGAAGATTCCCGTCCGAAAGAGCCAGAACTTGATCCGTATAAGATAGATAATCAACTGTCGAGTGGTCAGTGCACAACACTAGGGATTTGCGGCATCGGGGCTGTTAAAGGGAGCCCTACTCTCATGAGTCACCATTATAACGGTCGACATTGTTCTTCGCAGAAGTCCGTTACCTCCGAAGAGACGCTCTATTATGATGGCCTTTGTTTTCCGGTCTAGTGCACTGAGTATATCATCTAATAACAAAAGTTTCCTACGGGTATACACAGCCCGTGTAAGGGCAATTCGATGCATTTGACCGCCGCTGAACTTATTCCCGGATCTATTGCCGATTTGCGTGGTATCACCCTCAGGAAACAATTCCAGGTCTGGAAGCAGAGCATATGTATGAAGAACGTCCGCATACCATTCACAGTCAATACCGTGAGTGGTTACTGATCCTGTAGCAGTTACCCCGCAAATTGCTTCTCGGATGGTGCCCCTCGGGATCCAGGGGATTTGCGCGCAAAGGGTCGGGTTTTTGATTTTTACTGTAGTTACCCCTTTCTCGCAAACTGCTTGGCTAAGTATAGCCCGAAGCAGAGTTGTTTTCCCGGATCCCACTGGTCCCCGAATGATTACTAGATTTCCAGCTGGAACTTGGATGCTGATATCCCGCAGTACTATCTTTGCCGATGGAACTGGGCGGATATTGACTCGTTCCATAGATATGACGGGGAATGTAGGATCAGCAGTGCCGCTGCTCAAGAATGATATGGGTTGCAGCTCACCAGAGCTATCGCTCATGTGAATGTGAGTTTCTTCCGTGGTAATAGAAGTTGTATCTGGGTGATGCTGACCAGTCGGCACCATGAGAAATGATTGGATTCTATCAAAGCATCCCGTAGCGGCCGCCGTGGAAGGAACCGCACTAAGCAGCTTAGAGGCCGGGCTAGTGAGAAGTGTTATAATTGACAGACTGCTGAGGGTCTTGCTAATATCAAGTTCCTTTCCTTGAGCAGCGTAGACTGTGAAGGTCAAAGCTGGTGCTAATGCCCATGGTAGATTCTGGATCATGTTTTGCTAAACGATGCTCCATCGATATTTGGCCATTTGATGAGTTTCTTGGACTCGTTTGTTCTGTATGATATGAAGAAAGGTCTTACTCAACCCTATCCGCTTAACAGTTTGGATATCAGCCAGCATTGAACGGGTGATTGCGATGCGCTGCTGAACAGTATCAACCCAATTTTTCTGCTGCCCACTAATATTCTTCGAGATATATGTGCTCCCTAGGCTAGATACTATGCAAAATTATCAGCAACCGGTAGCGTGATGTGAAGTGATTGGGATACCCACGGATTACGATAATCAATGGCATCAGACAAACCCATCCCATACGAAGAGCAAGCAGCGAAATGCCAATCGCGACCTCAATAGTACGAGCCCAGCATTCATTCAAAGTCACTAGGCAATCGATAATCCGGTCAATATCGGTGGTCATGAGAGTAATTGTGGCCGAACGATCCTCTAGTGCCCCATCGGGGATGCGCAACGCATGGTTATAGATCATCGACGAAGCGGCCCCTCGGAAAATTGTCGTGAACCGATTTAGCATGTGGTTATACGACAGTGTAGAAAGAGCCATGCCTAGGTATATAAGAATAGTGGCGCCGATAAGACCGTAGCCGTCGTTCAACGCGGTAGATGGATCATCAAGCCAGTTAAGCATGGAAGTGATCAGGAAGGGTTGCGCAAAAGTAAATCCTATCAAACACAGTCGAGGAAATACCACTAGTGCTAGTGAGGCCCTGAGAGCCCGATATATCTGCACTGGGAATTCGAAGCGGTGTGCCGGGTGCTGGCGTTGGATCTAAGCTTGCCGCGCCTTCTCGGCCGCGCCCGCAGATTCCAGAGGCTTATCCAGAACATCCAGATCCCCCACAGTGAGCAAAGATCGAAAACCAGTATGGAAAAGACGGTTCAACTACCACAGAAAGGACCGGTTCAAGATACCACTCGTTGACTCTGGTGGCAGATCACGATACGTACCAGTGAGGTACTTCTGCTTCCCTAGACTCTCCAGAAGAAGCATCGTCATCTTTGCAGTAACACTAGCTGTAAATAGACTGGGAATGAGACTTCTAGTGCGGGATAACCAGAGAGTTCTGGTCTGCACAATGTCGAAGAGTAGCGTGAGGATAAGATAGATGGTGAGGAGTGATGACGGCCTGACTGATCGCTCATCCTCCATCTACGATATGACTAAAATCTCCAATGCCACTGCAAGATTGATCGCGCCAGATGCCACGGAGATATATGTAAAAGGCTTAGCATTCTGTGCCCAGCTAATGAGTAGGGTGAGTTAGATTGCGGCAAACACGACGATAGTTATCTGTGCTATGATATGAGTTGGACCTCTAAGGTAAAGGTGTGGAAGTTCTTACCAGTTTTGCAGATCTCAATTTGTTAAACTGGATTCGGACATCGCATTTCGCGAGAATATGTAGTCGAACAGGAGAAATGATGAGAAACGCGACCGCAGGGACGAGGCCGAATATCGCTTGCTCGAACAGAAGGGTGAAATCAAAGCCATCGCGATACCTAGGATTCGTCACGGGGCCGAAACTATTGTCCGCCTCAAGCGGGCACCCTAAAGGTATCATGCTGTGTCTATCTCTCTAAATCGCATGAAAAAGGAGAGGGAAAGATGAGAAGTTGACTTTTGAATGAGCTAGTAAGCTCCTGCCGCGTGATCGAGGGCCTTATTAGATATGTTTCTCCGTACTCTGTACATACGGCGAAAATGATTTAATTGGCTGGGTACTTTGGTTTAATTTGTTTTGTTTTCGCAGATCTCCAAGGCTATTCAAAATATTGGTTTCGAAAACTACGTAAACTAAAAGATGGCCGACGTAACCAACTATAGAATCTCATGCCTTGAAAGTTGACACCTTCGTTTGAAATCAGTGTCAGCTTGGCATGCCTGTAATTTATCTCTTTTTGTATTAAAGGACGGGCTACGGCTTCTTCGGCGATACCCGTTTATACTGCAGATCGACGCTACTTACAAGACGTGTTCTACTAAACAGATAAATTAAAGGTATGCCAAATTTACAATTTTTCTTCCTCCGCCGGAAGGGTCTCATTGCCGCGGTAGAAATGCCAGTCCATTCTCTGCAGGAACTTGGTGACTAGGTCAGCGAGGTAGCATTCAGGGCGCTGCTAGGCCCACGGCATGGAATCGAAAATGCCTCTCTGATAGATCTGCTACAGCTACCGAACTTATCCCCAGTCGCTGGACTCGAAGGAGGACGTGAACTTCCCGTTTCCAACTTCTCTCGCATGGCTGCAATTTCGTCACTTGCCCTGCGAGTGATACCTCCGACGGACGAGAGCGTAGCAAAGTTGATGCTTCCAAGTATGAATGAGAGAATATTAAATAGAAATAGGACGCCAGTGCGGACGAGGAAGCGGTTTTGGAGCCGGGTCCCTATCGATCCGTCCTTCGTCTCGTTCCGGGCATTTATCGTCCACGCCATTTAAAAGGGGTCATATTGATCCAGGCTGTCATTCCTAATGCTCGAGAATGCTGCTCCTGAAAAATGACAGGCTTTGGCAGTCCCTCGTTGTTTAAAATTTCCGATGTAGTTTGGTACCGAGCATTTTTGTGTAGTCGGATGAGAAGAAAACCTTAAAGACTGGAGCACAAGAAAAGTACGAGGGGCGAGCTCAGCTCCCGAGGGGAAGACAACACAGATGTCTCAACTATCCACGCATAGTCTGTGACCCAAGATGGGACCGGGTATCCGTATACAGAAATCGGATGGGTCGCGATGAAATCAACGAGGCTATTGGCCAGCCTCCTATCGAAATAAGAAGCTTGTTCTTATTACCGCTTCCCCACTATTGCTTATGTTCCAGCACTGCTCGCTTAAATTCGAGAGCCTAGAGCCCTATACCGGAGTCCCCACGGGCGTCCGTTGATAGCCCGGCCCCACACATACGATCCCTGCCTGATACTACCTAGGTTAATGGATTATATATATTTTTCGTAGGTATCTTACCCTACTAAGCCCTTGTATCAAAGGTCTTATTGCTATAAAACCCAACTTTATAAAGATTATAAAGGATAAAATACTTATAGAGTTAAGTTTAGTGTTAACTTATTAGGGATCGTGTAACTTCCCGGGGAACCGTGTGGGGCCGGGCTATCAACCGACGCCCGTGGGGACTCCGGTGTAGGGCTCTAGGCTCAAGCGTGCAGTGCTGGAACATAAGCAATAGTGGGAAAGCGGTAATAAGAAGAAGCTTCTTATTTCGATAGGAGGCTGGCCAATAGCTTCGTTGATTCTGGCACACCTTTCCAAGGGTTCCAAGTCACTCCACTGAAAGCTTTCAATCGGTTGAAAAAAGTAACTAATGTTGTGATGAGTGGCTTTATTGTATTTGATCGTCAACATATATGCAAAACACTTCTCATTATTCATTGTATAGAGGGAAAATTGAGAGGTTTCAGTACGCTATCTGTTTTACCTCGCCCGCTATCAAGTACAGGAGTGGGTCCAAACAAACTCAAAATTATGGGACTTACATGAAATCGATGGGCCAGCGAGGGCGGGACTAGGCAGCTGGAACTATCGGAAAGTTTCCATGGGGGATCTCTTGTTGCCTAACATGCTTAGCTACTTCTGTAATGAGTGAGCATGATGTGTACGTGTCCCTTTTGAAGTAGAACTCGGGCGTACTGTTCTATGGAGTACATCCTTGCGCTCCCTGTCAGGCTAAACCACCAATTTATCTTTACGCGATTCCCGCAGTTACGGCATTATTTCATCATAATACGGAGTACAATATTTCTATTTTCTATAATCCATTATCCGGACTTCCCACCAGAAAGTAATATCGGACATGAGATTGAGTCCTTCCGGCCCCGTCGTGAAGTACTACCCCAATGCGGGATCAGTTGATAACGGCTATTCAGCTCCTTTTGTGAGAAATAATCCTCGTAGACTGAGAAAGGCATTCTTTCTGATTCGAGCTATACATCTTAGATCTTTATTAAAGCGTGGCACATGGATTGATTATGTACCTAGTATGTAGCTAGGAATATAAGGATACCAAGATAATTATATTGTCACTTTGTTCTCAAATGATGTTGTCTATATACGATAATAGATACAAATAGTGGGCGAACAAAATATACAAACAAATGAATACCCTCCCTATCTCCCGTAGCTTGACAAGACTTCACGCCACGCCACCATTTCCTTAACTGTAGACTAATGGTTTCTGAATATTCCTAGGCCTTGTCGACATATCAAGCGGCAATGTTATGATCCTGGGCTTTATGATAACCATGAACCTCCATGAACTCCCTGACTGCGGTCTAAACAGTATCTCAGCATTCTATAAATTAGAGTATGGCCATGTGCATCTGCAGCAGACTTACCTTGCTTGTGCAAATATGAGGGATGCCCTTCCCGTCTACTTGGTATCGTCTTCTATCTTCCTCTGTTCTTGGCCACTCCACGGTCATATCGGCAGGACATTCGAATGCTTGCCTCAGATAGTCAAAACAGTGGCCGGTGTGCTCATTTTGAATTTGTTTATTCGCTTGATCCCTCGTCGTCGCAGGATCATCCACCTTTTTGTTTTCACGGTTTATACCACAATATTTTTCCTTCTATAGGATAACTCACCTCTAATATGTCTAGCGACAAAGGGCCATGAGTTTCTCCTTGACACTTACAGTCAGTATGGTCCCATGGGTTTGAAAAAATCTTGCTAAAGAGAAAATCTAGGTCCTGCGCGGGAGGCACTGAAGTGGGAACCGAGGACGTTTGAAAATCAGCTTAAGATATCAAATCCATTTAAAGGACCACCCAGACCAGAATCAGAGGAGGGATGGCACAAACTTCTTAATCTGGCCGCTGCTATTCGTGTGGATAAAGAAGTACTCGACCGAATTAACCGGACTTCTGTTACTCTCCAAGACGGATTGGGCTATATGGTTGGTCTGGATGTCTATCATCAACTGCATTGCCTGGTCCGTATTCACACCAGTGCCATTAGGTATATCGGCTTCTGAATCCTGTACTGAGAAGTGAACGCACAGAGATATATCCGCAGATACCTCCACCGGGAGCACTACAATATGACAGAGGAAAACCTGGGTCAGTATATCGGTAAGCCTTGTCACTATATCCATCTTAATGTGAGCTAATACCCTCGAAGACCATTGTTTGGATGGCTTACGATAGTATATCATGTGTAACGCGGATGTGGTTCTCAACACCTTTGACTGGATTCCCAACTTTCCTAGACCGTGGCCAAACTTCCAGGTTGTGTATGAGTGCGTGAACTGGGAGGCCATCGAAGACTGGACCTTGGCGTACAGCTTTAATGGATTTGATCCTGATTTAATCCAACATCCAGATTTCTATCCTGAGCTACGTAAGAAATACACCTAAGACTAGAGAAGTGGAAGAGACACTGACTGATATTGATTTCACTTTAGCGAGCCTATTCAATTACACTCTGAGCGGGAATGAGCCCTAAGATGGCCGGGTATTTTGTGAAAGGTATAACTAGTCCGAGTTAGAAATTGCCCAAATGTATTTTTCCCAGATAAATTAAATGTTTGAGACATATCTATCAGCCGCAAGTTGTATTCGCTCAGTCGACCAGGCTAACACAAATCCGAGTCCCGGTAAGATGGTATTGATAGCACTTTGAAATTCTTGATAGATGGTAAAAGCTTCTCATTTTGACTGTATTATTTCCTAATCCTCTAATTGAAGGCCAGTGTAAATAATCTTCCTAAGCCTTGCAAGTTCCTAGGGGATCATTGACTGGTGTCTTTAATGAGAGGGTGGGGCGAAGCCGATATGAGTCCAAAAGAAACAGTCGAACTTCCTTGTTAGCGGTAATCACGTACTTTGTGCCTAAACTGGCCGCACGAATTACATCTAAGAATGGTCCGCCGCCAGTTCTGACATATCGTAATATTGTTCGTCTGTGACTGGTCTATAGTCGATAGTCGTGGTGTCCGTATCTTCTAGTATCGGTGATTCCGGGACTCGTTATCCGCTGGATGACTGTACGAATAAACGTTGTATAATACGTCGGGTTGTAATAAGGATCTATATTTTCCGTTTGTTGTGATAATAGATTCGCTATGTCTGGGACGTCGTATGCGTTTCCTAGCTTTCCTAGTCTCTTTGCTAGGTCTCGTCGATTATGTCGTTCTTCTACAAAAGGCTCCTTTCCTGCGCTTTATCGTCGCTTACTCATTAGGCGTATTCTGTTAGTTACTCAAGTGGGTGATCAAAAGTGGCTAGGCGCTCTCTGTAACCTGTTATCGGATATGAAAAATCGTGATCTATTCAAGTTGTTTTCGGACAAATCCCGTCGCGTGCGCATATATAAACAACTAATGTGTCGTAATACATTAGCGGAATTCCCCAAAATCCTTCTGCAGACTAAGAAAATGTCTCAGAAGAAGAGTCAATAGCCTAGAAACAGCCTAGATATATGTAGAATCCCTCTCGGTTTCAACCGCCTCTTAGACTCCGCCAAGTGGCAATCTTCCTGCATCCGCAAGTCTGGCGAGTCATATACATATCACCAGTTGGGAGATTAAGACAGATTTGGTTAGGAAGCCCCGTTGGAAGCCGACGGGGAGTAGCTAGTTCTTGATGTTGCATTGGCAATTGCATATGATGGTCGATATATAATATTTGTCAGAAAGCCGATTTAGCAGATTATTAATAGTCGTACTAGTAAACATGGTAAATTAGATGAAATTACCTCGGACCATGAATCCTATCCCCTCCCAGTCAGATACCTATATAAACATCATACCAATCCTCGAAATTCGAGATTAGAGTTGGAAATCGTCTAATACGACTTCAAGAAAATATACCATCTGATTTGCTTCTGAAGATCAACCTTGAATTAGAATTTCAACATGCGCTTCACCTGCTTTGTGTTGGCTTTGCCATTCCTGTCAATTGCCGCACCCATGAGTGGTATTACCTCCATCCTATGAATTGATATTTTCTATTTCCTAACGTCTATGATAGCTGGCTTTGAAACTCGAGGCTTAGAAGGAACTGAGGAGAATGGACACCAATCCTACAAGAGAGATGTTGCTGGCGCCGAGGAGAACGGACACCAATCCTATAAGAGAGAGGTCTCTGCGGCCTAAGAGCACCCACGCGTACGTGCTGGCCTCATTAGCGAAATATGCGTCTTCTTTACTAGACGGCCATAAGTATAAGCGGGCTTTATGTACTTCACATATGCACACATTTTAGCTCATCCTTTCCTCGCTCTGTACGAGTAGCACAGTCAGGATCATCTGCGTAGTAGCTCTAGATATATGTTATGAAGCCTTTATGTTTAGGTTAGAACTCTTTGTCGATGATCTTGTGCCGATTAGCTTTATCTAGCACCTTTAGACGCCTGGCCAGAAAGATGTAAATACTGCAGTAGGGGTTTCTAGAGTAAGATAACTGAGCGGTCATATGATCTATAGTTAGTTAGCTAACTAGTGAAGAGGGAAATGCACGATGGGTAAGTATCCGGGCCATATAGGTAAGATAAGAACAATATAATAATACTAACTAACTATCTAGGACGGTTAGCTAGTAAGTATAGGGATTATATAGACTATACTATAGTATATAATCTCCTAGTATATAAATATCTTATAACTTACTTCTTATTTCTAGGGTAATAATCTAGTTAGGCTCTCTCTTTCTAAAACTCTACTTAATAACTAGTTAGGCACTCACTTTTCTCTGCCTAAAGGATAAGGCTACTAAACTAGGGATTCTGACTTTCTCTACTATATTAGTTAACAAATATACTTAGTTACCCCTTAACTCCCTTTATATTACCTTATATAGTTACTCTAACTTATATCTCGTCTACCTAAGAAGCGTCCCTTTCTTATCATACCTCTCTAGCTATACCTTTATCCTTACATCCTATGGCAGGAAGATGGGTCTCTCTGCCTTATTAATTGGGCATCTGCCGGCTACTATCCAAGGTTGTTTGAGTTCTGCGTGCAGTGGATTACTAAAGGAAAGGACGGTAAATTTAATTCTCTTCTCTTGGGGTCGATGAATCCTTTGTCCAGTCCAGAGATGGCGCAAAAAGAGTCCATTATGTGTGCTTGGAGAAATATCCAGAAGTATCCTTTGTGAGCACATGAGACTCCAGTTATTTATTGATTGAAACTCACCTACTTCCATCCAGTCAGACCAAAAAATCCAAAAAGTCCAAATCATGCCAAAGAGCATCAGGAGAACTTCTCCCTGTTCCCCCTCCTTCGATGCCAGAATACCCACCAGATTGGCATGAACAAGATAGGCTTCTATCATAGGTATTTTGACGTTTCCTTTTTGAATATGCCCTATAAAAACCGAATAAATTTCCATGTTAACCTTTCTTTCTCATTCTCACTAATCCCACCCTGCTAATCTACATCTGGAAAGTATATGACATGAGCGAGGAGTAGTCTTAACCTTGGTGCCCTCTTTGAGCCCCCAAAGAGAGGCCAATATCAAACCGCCGCATATTTCTCGTATCAAAATCGATGATAGAGCAAGCCACAAACACATTCTTCAGATGTCAACAAAACAAGCAGTCTACACCCATGACAATATCTAAACAGAAAATGTCAAACACAATGTCCATCTACAGGCCACCAGCAGAGCAAATCTTCTTAGACTCAGGGACACGCTCCTGGTACCGACTCGGGTACGCGGAGCCCTGTACCTTCTGGCAAAGTTTGCCAGTATTCATTTTCTTCCAGCCACTGACTTTCTTCATGATCTTGAAGAACTGCGCGGCCGACTTTGCAGCATCCATATCAGCAGCGATGTTGGGGTAGTAAACAGCCCGCTGCTGGAAGATGCCCACGCTGTCGTAGTCCTCAGCCACAGCATCATGGTGATACTTGAGAGAAGCGGGGACCTTCTTGTTGGCGTAAATAAGAATGTTAGACTTGAGGTAGTGTTAGCAAGCTTCTGTGTTGTTATATTTCAATTGAATGTGTATGTTAAGACTCACCTCAACAAGAGCGGTTGAAATTCCAGCGAGACAGCCCTGACGACCCAGGCCCTCTTTCTTGGCCTCTGCGATGATGGCCTTTGCGTGCTTGGTCTGGGTGGCCGAGAGACCGGGCAGATTGCTGCTGGTGCTGCGCTCGCTGAGGGCGCCTTCGCTCAGGGTGTCTTCGTCATCGACAGTGTCTTCGCTGGGGCATTCCTCGGTGACATCGCTGGAGAAGTCGGAAACATAGCAGTCGTCGACGGTTTGGTGCCAGATGTCGCTGCCATCGACGGTAGTGCCGGTGGCCTGGCAGACGATTTCAATGTCAGCTCTCTCCTCGTAGGTCTTGACTACAGAGTGAGAGGCTCCTGGACCAGAGTGGCAGTCGATGACGCTGCCAGTGACCGGGTAGGCATTGACAATTGGCGTGAGAGCGACAAATGCGAGTGCAAGAATGGGAGTGAACACCATTTTGAATGAGCTTTGGGGTTATACTTGAGTATATTGAGAAGTTGAAGCTGGTATTGAAGAATGAAGACTAGCCGATGTTGCGATCTTGTGAGCTGATGGATAGAGGAGCTTGAAGGGGAGGCAATGAGCATTTCATATCTCTGGGATCCTCAATTTCTCGAGATCGTATACTACATCAATCAATTACTTTGTACATTGTTGCATGCTTCGGACCCTTGTTTGCCAGATTGATCCCGTGCTCTTGCCCCACGAAGCTCGTATAGAAGTGGAATCTAGAGAGATCTTCATTGTTTTTTTCCCACAAAGCCCGTATCCCTAGTCGAGGTTGCATCAAGCGAGATTAATGAATCTATATTCAGGAAGGCCATCCCGTATAAACCCTATAGGGAGTTCCCGTGTTATTCAAACGTCCGATGTTCGAAAGCTTAATCACCTGTCAGGGCACAACGTGCACGCCTAAAAATAGCAGGGCTTATACGGGTACTAGGGTCGATTGGTGTAGATCACCGTATTCAAACTATGCACTTCAACTGATTCGCCAGTCATGTTCGGGGCAGATTTAGTGCGTGCTACATCGGAGAGATGCGCTGAAGTATCTCGTTTCATCTATAGTATAGAAGTAATTTCCGAACGCGGGAAGGGTTCGACAAATATGGGTTTACCCTTGTTTTGCGACAAGCCTTTGTAGTGCATATTAAGCATCGGCTATTGTAACCCTTATTTATGTGGTAATTGCAACTCATGTACCGGGTACTACGTCGGTCATGGGGACCGGACTGAAGGAATAACGAGATTGGGCTGGGTGCATGCTACCAAGGTCTCGTAATGTATTTCACAAGCGAGTAGGCCTTCGAGACATAGCAAATACGATGAATTGCAACACGATCTTACAACAATGGTTATTTAGAATATACTCTTATGGAATCTAATCACTATCGTGGGTTTCGGGAAATTCAACAAAATAGTGGGATGTATATATTTCTAAAGTCCAGTGATATTTGCGATACTATGACAATGCAGTTCTCTGAATTATTTGAAATTGAGATATGTTAGTTACCAGAAATGTTTATCAATAACTAAATACCAACAGCATTGGCTGTTGACATGTCTCGTGGTCCAGCTCGCTTTGAGATACGTTATGATCTTGTTACTTCTTAGCTCAGATCGGTCTAAATATAGTATTGGAGGAATCCAACCTCTGAAGAGTATTCCAAACAAAGACTAAACGTCAGAAAGTGCATGTTTGCCTAGCTTCTGCAACGTGCTTCAATTTATAAGGTGTGACAAGTTGGCTTGACCTTGTCGAGGATCACGAGTCTCAATGGATACTGTTTTGGATAAATGAGCGAGTCAAGTCATTGTCCACTATCCACCCTGGTTAGTACGGCGTAGCTGAATCAACCCTAAGGCTGTGAGAGTTATGGCTCTTCTACCCGATTCTATTGTCAATATTTCCAGAAGAGCTCCGATCAAGCTTGATATATATATCAATTCTGCCCAAGCCCCTTTGCATTGACATTTATTCACCAAAATGTGTGACCTATCAAAATATAACTAATTATACATGAACTATTGAAGAATCCTGGCGTTAGTGCTAAAACTGGATCTCCTCAAGCGGGTCAGTCACACCGACTGGACTCGAGGCTGAGACAAAGCGAGAAGTTCAAATGAGCAAAAAATAAGTATAATAAGTCGAGAAGTATATACAATCGAAGTGAAGAGGCTCTATAGATGTATAGATAAGGAATTGCATCATCCCGAATCCCCGACGTCACTACGGCAGAAGGCGGAGAGAGAGAAGAGGCGAAGCTGAGGCGTGTGTGTCCACGGCTGTGAACCTGTGCACTTGGTCTCCCCGCTCTCTCCCCAGCCACCGTCTTATCTGTCGCTTTCCACCTTTTTTTTGCTTCTGCCTTCTCCTTCATCTCGAGTAATTTTATCACCCTCTTCATCTGTGGAAAAAACAAGATATGGCTCCTCCTCCTTCCGCCACCTTGCCTCTGGTTGAGAGACTCAAGGCCTTGGCGCAGACCCTACAGTACGTTTCTCCAGTCCAAGGCTGAAATGAAGCTTCAATGCCTTGTTTATCCATACTAACGAGATGTCACGTTGCAGGTTTGCCTGGTTCGTTGGGTAGGTCAATCTGAAGCGCACACCGACAAAGATCCAAGTTCAGGCCCACTAACAATTTTTAGACATGTGACACTTTTGCTCTCAGTCTTCCGCTACTCCCTGTCTTGCATCTTCTTCAACTACTACTCCTCCGCGGCACAGATCGCCTACCGTTTGACCTTCATCTCGGCCGCTGTGACTTATGGAATCGTCGTGTACAAGGGCCACTTCGCCCGAGGTGTCCAAGGCAGCCCTCTGGCAATTGTGTTGAAGCTCATCTCTGATGAGAATGTGCAATACCTTGGTAAGTGATCAGCTATGCGACAGCCCAAACCTCAAGCTTACACGTATTCTAGGGATGGCTCTGGTCTGGCTGTACTCGCGCCAGCTCATCCTGGCTCTTCTGCCTTTCAGCGTCTACTCGGTCTTCCACGTCGCAACCTACAGCCGCATGTACTTAATCCCTACCCTGCAGCCCGCTGCTCCGGCCGCCCCTGCCTCTCCCACCTCTCCTACCTCCAAGCCCGCTGTCAAGCAGTCTCCCCTCGCCGAGACCATTGGACGGTTCATCAAGCAGTACTACGATGCTAGCATGGGTGTTGTCGCAACCCTCGAGATCGCCCTGCTGTTCCGACTTGCTCTGTCCGCTATCACTTTCTCCAAGGGTAGCTGGGTCCTCTTGGTAATCTACCTGTCTTTCTTCCGCGCCCGCTATGCGCAGAGCTCCTTCGTCCAGCAAGCTGTCCGCCAGCTTACTGCCCGTGCCGATGCCACTATCTCCCACCAGAGCACTCCTCCCCAGGTTCGCCAGGGCTGGGAGGCCATCAAGGGTATTGTGCGTCAGGGTTACGAGATCACCGATATTGGCCGCTACATCTCTGGCCCTACCGCTGCTAAGAAGCCGCAGTAAATCTCGATATGGTATGCCAGACACCTTGCTTTGCATGCTGGAGCTCATGACATCAGGAAATAACATGGGTTTTTGGTTTGCAATGTTGCTGAGTCAAGGTGGCTGGTGCAAATAATATTACAGCTGTATCTTTCCCATAGGCATGTTCCCGCCTGAGCAAAGGACAAGAAGGATGTCGGAGTGTGGGACGCCCAGGTCCCGACTGTAGAAAAGAAGGACGCGGAGGATTCCTGCCATGATGATGCTATACGCAATGACTTGTGTTTATTATTTCTAGAGTATTGCGATGCATAGTCTGTATTTGCTCTCCTCTTGTCAACATACCTTGTTTCGGATTCATTTCATTATTCCAATCACGGAGAGTCGTAAAGATCCGAAATCTAGTACAAAGGGTGGGAGGGCTTCTAGGCAGGAGGGCTGCAACGGAACAAGCGCTCAACGTCCTTCAGGACAGTTTATAATCGATCAATCTGGTCTAGACAAAGAAGATATCAGAGATAGACAGTTTTCCCGAGATATATTTGCCCGAATCAAAGTAGGTTAGTGCTTAGTTATACTAGACTCGAGGGGCTCTTACTCAACCCCGCTGATCATCAGGTTTCTTTCATAAAATGGCCTAGCGGTAACTGAAACTAAAGAAGCCCCAAGCCCTGTGAAATTAGCTGGTTTTACTAGCATTGGACAAGCTCTATGCATAAGTTTATTAACAATGAGCATGCAATTACGGAGATATATAGTTGTGTGGAGGATATCAAGGACAATCAAGAAGCTCATTTGCGGCTTGTAGCAGTTGACTATTTTAGTCCTCACACATATAGAAAAAAACCTCTCCGATCAAATATACATAGTTGTTCATGCCATATGCTGTTTTTAGATCGTATCTCTCTCGAAATATCGAATGACTCCAATGACAGAATCCCGTGATTCGTGCCTGAGGCGACCGACTTATCGGGCTTGGCGGCGAAAAGAAGCCGATCAGAATTTTGGCTGGCGGAACAATCATCTTGCAAACAATACTAATCAATCCTTTCCCGGTCTCTTGTCACTCTTTCCTATTATCCTTACCTCCCAGGGGTGCTCCTCTCCCGCTCAATACCTCAGCCCCTCAGCACCCCCATATCCCAGTCTGGTCCCGACCAGTACCATCGGGATCCCAATTTAGCATAATATTGCCATGAGCCTGACCTCGCGAGTGTTCGGCCTGTTCTCGACAGCGACTTCGGACTCAACAGCACCGCCTGCGGGGGACTCGAATACCTCGACATGGACACAGCAGACGCCAGTGGGTGGAACCGATGATTCAACCTTCACTGCTCGAAATGGCGACCTCGCGCTGTTGGAGGACGAGGAACCTCGGCCGCCATACTTACATGTACAATTGCCCCTAGCGGCATCATATCATTGCCCAAGGACTGACCTGATTTGAAATTATAGGCGATGTTGGCCGGTGGTACCGGAGGAACATGTGGCGACATGTTGATGCACTCATTAGACACAGTCAAGACTCGACAACAAGGCGATCCGACCTTTCCGCCTAAATACACTTCCATGGGCCAGTCCTATTCAACAATTTACCGCCAAGAAGGATTCTGTCGCGGATTATATGGAGGGGTAACGCCGGCCCTGCTTGGCTCGTTCCCCGGCACCGTGATCTTCTTCGGCGTGTATGAATATACCAAGCGCTTGATGATCGACTCGGGGATCAACTCCAACATCGCATATCTATCAGGTGGCTTCTTTGCCGACTTGGCTGCGTCGGTTGTCTATGTGCCATCCGAGGTGCTGAAAACCCGACTCCAGTTGCAGGGCCGATACAATAACCCGCACTTCAACTCGGGCTATAATTACCGCAATATGCAAGATGGGTTCCGTCAGATCGTCCGCCAGGAAGGATTTTCGGCATTATTCCACGGCTACAAGGCCACTATATTCCGCGACCTCCCATTTTCGGCGCTTCAATTCGCATTCTACGAGAAAGAGCAATCTATGGCTAAACAATGGGTTGGACAACGGGACATTGGGCTGGGCTTGGAAATATTGACAGCCGCCACCGCCGGCGGTATGGCTGGTGTGATCACTTGTCCGATGGATGTGGTCAAGACACGCATCCAAACCCAGCAAAACCCCTTAGAGCCCCCCGCCGGTTCTTCGGGCGCCAAACACACTGTTGAAAACGTACCGAAAGAAAGCCCACGGCCGCACACGTCGACACCATCACATTCCCACCCTTCGCGGGCACACTCGCGACCAATCTCCACATCAGGGGCAAACACAACAATCCCACCGCCGGGTACACCCCGACTTGACACTTCCTCCGTGTTCACAGGGTTGAAGATGATCTATCGAACGGAAGGTATTGCCGGATGGTTCCGCGGCGTGGGCCCACGCGGTGTATGGACTAGCATCCAAAGCGGGACTATGCTGGTTATGTATCAGTACCTGCTCAAACAGCTCGAGGCTCACCAGATTCTAGAAGAGTCTTAGGACCTTACATCTAACTGCATGCATTTCCAAGGTTGCTGTTCTTTTTACATTTTTTTTGTCATTGGGAACTGGAGGCGTTGGATTCTTTGTCCCGATCTGGGATGTTATGACCCTGCTTTCAGCACTTTGTATATTGTGTACCCTACTCTGTGATAGATTATTAGACTGGCTGCGGCCTCCTGTACCATATCTCTTTTTCCAACTCCATATTACATATATTGACATATCTATACTCCGGGTTCTATATCTGTTTAGACTAGTATCTAAGGAAGAAGGGCAAGCCATGTAATAACTAGATATCAACAGGAAATGCTTGGACCCTTCTATCATACAACCTTGGTTATATATTCTCAAAATACATATAAAAAAGAAAGCAAAAAGCCCAGCGGAATGACACTGAACAAAGGGAGTGAACGCGCTAGACCGTGTTTTGTTTTGGCGATCGGCGGATGTAAACAATTACCGGCCACTCCCCCTCCTTGCATCTTCTCTCCCCCCAGCATTTACTTTCTTATTTGATATTGGTCCAATTTCTACAGTGATATCGGATACATTATGTCTCTTCCTTATCTCAAGTCGTTGAAAAAGCCTGAGTTGGCCGAGTTGGCCGATCAGACCGAACTCCCAAAGTAAGAATGAATGCGATTGCCGCATAGACTGAGCTGATCAAATCTATAGCTACAATGACTATAACAAGAATGATCTTGTCGTAGTTCTGGACAGACACCTCCGTGAAAACCGCTCAATCTTCTCCGGGCTCAAGAGTCTCTCTGAATACTACTTACGCCTGGCCTCTCCACCCCGCAGAGGAGGATCGCCCGTGAAGCGCGAATCCGCGCGAACCCCGGCACGAACCCCGGCACGCCGCTCTACTAAGAAGGAAGTGAGGGAAGAGGAAACGGATGAAAATAAGTAAGAGCGGCCTCAACGCGCCATTCGATACATCGTCATCACGCATATATTAACCCACGCAGTAGCGAGGATGCGGAAGAACCCGAGCCCAGCCCAACTGTAATCAGCCCGACACCAGCTGTGGGGCGCACGAGCGCACGCCAGTCTGCGCGCCAAACACCCCAACAGACACCCCGTCAACCAGCAGTTCTCTCTACCGTCGTGGACTCAGAGCCATCGCTGCCCGCATCTCCAGCTGCCATCACCGAAGCTATCGACGCACAGACGCTCAAGTTGCGCGAGAGAATTGAGGATGCATGGACTGCATCGGGCTTAGTAGAGCGGGCGCATTCTCTGCGAGCAACGCTGAGCAGCGGGAAGGCGGTTGAGATCATCGTGCTGCTGCTTGAAAGCGGCAGTCTTGCGAAAGAGTTGATCCCGATACGCTTCCTTACCACTACACCGGTTGTGCAAGCCGTACAGATCCCGGCGATTCGGATCCGGGTTCCTGATTTATTTGTGCTGCTGGAAGGAACGTTCTGGGGGCCGTTTTCGCTGTGGTTCCTTACTTGTCTGCTTTTGCCTTTGATTTCTGCCTACTTTATCAACTTGAGCTGGAATGCTTCTAGCAGTACGCGCCGCACCCAGTCTGCGCCTAATCTCGCCCAGTTTGATCCGTTGACGTTCAACATCGTCAAAGCCTTGCTCGTGCACATTGTGTTTGGCAAAGGTTTCAACTTCTTTGGTTTCTATAGTCGGTATGCTATTGGGAAGGTAATTGACTCCGTCCCTGGTGGAGACCTTGGTATCTTGACTGGATCCGCTATCGGTGGTGTGACTGCTCTGTACGAAGCTATTCTGCACCGCCCATAAGCGACAGGACATGACTTTTGTGAGGCTGTACAGGTTATCTGGCGAATGGTTCTTCAGTGGTTGGACGTGTTTTATCTCATCTGTCTCCACCGTTGTTTTTTCTTCGTTTATGGGTTATGCGATATGCGATATTGGGTTTCTTTTTTGCCTTCTCTTTATCTTTCTTGGTCTCCCGTTATAGCCAGAGCAGGCGCCTTGGGAGTTCTTATTCTGGTTCTTGTTCTGATCATCTCTTTGGGAGATTCTTCCCTGCTTGCCCTAATGACCGATTCATTATTTTCCAGTCTGTGATAAAAATATCCGAGAGTAGTAGTATATTTATAGTCAAGTTTACGCATGCTGCGGACGGCTTTTGATGTTGGCTCAGGCCTTTGTTCTGTAGATAGGCGGAATGTCGTCAAACCTCGCGGACGTCGACGACAGGGTTCTTGACGGTGCTTGGAGTCAAGCGGTTCATGAAGAGATCGAAGCAGAAGCCCACGGGCGGGTTTTTATATTGATCAAAACGCGCATGGGACACGCAGCGGTTGGTGGAAGCAAATTTCACATATATGCTGCTATGGGTGGGGGCTGAATCCCAAATTCGCAATAGCGTTATGTGATTCTAACAGCCTAGGCTTCGTGAAGCGTTAGGCCCCGGACAGACTGTCGTGGTGGTTCCTATTAACCTCCGTACCCAATGTCATGCTTCACGCTCACGGTCACCTCTTCAACCTCTCCGCCAATTCCACTGTAAACAAAACCGGGACAGAGGTCTCAACCTCCACCTTGTCGGCGCGAATATGATTGCTCGTGGATATCTGCCCTCCAATCTCGGTATGCCAATTCTCCACATCCCACTCAAAGCCATGGGTTGTGATCTCGGCAGGTGACGAGAGGGGGATGATCCCGATATTCTCTTCGAAGAAGTATACTGGTTCTGGTTCTGGTTGTCGCACTTGCTCCTGCTCCTGCTCCTGCTCTTGCTCTTGCTCGCGCTTCCGTTTTCTCGGTGACTTGCTTACATTAGACCCCAACGCTGTCGCGATATCTGCTCGTCTTGTTGCAGGTGTGTAAATTGTATTCTTCCCTGTTTGGATAATGAACGTAATGCTTTCCTCGGAGACGAGATACAGGTTACCACCTGCAGCTGGCTTGGCATCAGAGGTGTCGGCTTCATTTTCACGAATCGAGCGTTGCTTCTGCGTCATCATGTACAAGTGGTGCACTTGAGAGAAAGCCTGATCCACACGACCACCCAGACCGCCGAGGATCACAACTTCCAGAGGTGATTGATCAGATGGTGAGGTTGCTGTGCTTTGATTTGCGCCATTGGTCTTCGATTTGGTCCGAGTGTTTGCTCTTTTTCGGGGGGAAGCCATGATATCTGCAGCATGTACGTTGAGATATTTCAGACATTTCGTGAAGTCTGTTGAGTATTGGTCTGGATCTTGGAGGATGGGCACTCCGAGCTTCTCATAATGTCTTCGAACTGCGGGGCGGATAGAATCAAGGTCGCCGACAATGGAGTCAGGAAGCTATATCTCTGGTCAGCTCGATCTTTTTGTGCTGCAGTTTAGAATAAAGTTGCAGTCCAGAGAGATTATGCAATTAATGTCTATATATATCGCTTACTGCTTTAGATCCCTTTCCATTAACTTCTGGCATATCAAAAAGCCGATTGGCACCTCCATCGGCGCAAATAATATAGGATGCTGCATTGGCATTAGCATCTTTTATCCAGGAAACTGCATCTATGCACAATTCATATAGAATCTTACCATATCTGCTCAACACTCCAAAAGCATTCTCATTGATTGGCTGGTTAAGGATGAGAAGAGCGTAAGGCGAAGGACTCCCCTCAGGACGGAAGAACCGGCTGGGATCCCATTCCATTGCAAGAGTTGAATACAAACCAAATTGAAGTCCAAAAGACGTAAACAAACCAAGAGAAATCAAGGCCGAAAGGGTTGGTGGTGACGATATAATTATCTTGACCAAGCTGCAACGTGACTGGCTGACGCGGGCACGCAACCTCAGGCCAAAATCCACATCGCTTTCCAACTTCTCCATCCCGCGGTGTTTCGACTCTCTTCCTCTCAATCCCTTCTTGGTGGAACTCTCGGTCAATTCGATTGATTCGCACTCCTCTCACACATAATGTTCCGCCCCGCCGCTCGAGCGCTCGCTCGCGCGCCCGCTGTCGCAGCCCGTACACCAGCGAACAGACGATTGATAAGCACCGGTCCGAGCAAGTCGAGAAGCTGGAAGAATACCTTCTTGCGATTAGGCTTGGCCGGTGGTGCTATCTACTACTACAACACGAGCAGTACTTTCTCCGAGGAGCCGAAGTGTACGTGTCGCCGATTGGAGTTGGGTGTTGCCCTTGTTCCTCGGTCCCCGGGGTTGCAAGCCGCGACAATCCCGTCCCCGTCAAGGTTCTGAGTTCTGGAATCACAAATCGCTAACTCTGCTTCCATTTGGCTTTAGTCTCTATCCTTTCTTCAATCCGGAAACAAAATGTTGATGATGCCAACCCCCAGACTCTCGACTCCATTACTCCCAGGATTCGGCAAGAACGAGCTGCCGCGCAGGCCCAAAAGAACGAGTCTGCTGCTTTGGAAGGTGGACTGAATGCCCAGGAGCTCCAGGAGGAGGCTGGCCAGGAGGCTGCGTTCAACCCGGAGACCGGCGAGATCAACTGGGACTGCCCGTGTCTTGGAGGCATGGCCCACGGGCCATGCGGAGAGGACTTCAAGGCTGCGTTCAGCTGCTTCGTCTACTCCGAGGAAGAGCCAAAGGGTATCGACTGCGTTGAGAAATTCAAGTATGTTTTACTGTCGTTTTGAGGGCAGTGGTCCTGTGCTAACAATTTTTGCAGGGGAATGCAAGACTGCTTCCGGCAACACCCCGAAATCTACGGCGCCGAGCTGGAAGACGACGATGAGCCCCAACCCCAGTCCGATGCTCCCCCCTCCGAAGCTCCCGCTACCCCCGAAGCTCCATCCACTGCCGCCGAGCTAGATGCGTCGTCGCACCCCACTGAGAAGCAGACCCGCGCCAAGGATGTCAACACCCAGGTGAAGACCGAGACCGTTGCTGCAGGCGATAACGTCGAGGGCGACACCCTCGTTCCCAAGGCCGAGCTTGACGTCGAGGAGAAGGAGCAGGCTCGCAAGGCTTAGAACCGACCTGCATCCTGTTTGACGCCACCCTCCCTAGAGACAAGCCTACTGCTTGATCTCTCTTCTGTAATGCATATCAGGGACTGGGATTGGACTTGTGTATTATATAGACCTTTCTGCCATCTCTCCATCTCCCGTATTGCCTTCGATGCATTTTCCCCTCCTGATCTTTCAGCATATCCATTCCCCCGATCTGCGCTCCTCTGTGTTCTTCCCGATACTTCCTCTCTGTCAATGTGTAACTTAGTGTACTGATATGCTTTACGCTCTTGTCCTTTGGACAAATAAAAGAAAGAGGGGAAATCTACTAGACTTTTTGCATCATGACTGGTATCCAGTATGGAGCTTTTGTATAAGCGCTAGACAAGGTGGGTATTTTCCGTGGAAACTTGTTGAATATAGATATCAGTCCCTGCAAACCCCAGCTTCTCTTGGGAGAATTTCCATAACGGAATATTCCTGTTGCGAGAAACGGGAGCGATTGTCGGGGGGCGGGGCCGGGGGGGGGGGGGGGGGGGGGGGGGGAGGGGGGGGGGGGGGGGGGGGGGGGGGGGCGACGGATAGGGTGGGGGGGGAGGGGGCTG